GTTCTGCTTGCTAATAATTCTAAGCTGTTGACCAAGTACAATCAAATTTGGTTGAGGCTCAGTCAAATTATGTTTCTAAAAGATTCAAGAAAATTTGAAGTCAAGAAGTGAAAAAAATATAAAATTTGTGCCTATAGAAAGAAACAGACAGAAACCATTTAATATTTCCAAAGGCAAGTAGAAAACCCCGGKGTGAGGGAGCAGCCAGTTATTCCCCATCAGTATGAGAAAAATCGGAGCCATTCCTGCCTTTTGCCTTGTCCAACATTAGGGAATACGGGAGGAAGAAAACATCCTGTGGAGCAGTGATCCACAAAAGCCAGCAGAGCAGCTGGGATTTTGGCAGTGGCACACTGTCAATGATAGAGGACACAAATCTGAAGGAAGTTGTTCCTCCCTAGCACAGTTTATCTGGAACATTAATAGAATTATTGCAAGATGAAGGTAAGATCAGTAAATTATTCCTTATGATGAGTCTCCATCAGTTGTGTTCTATAGTTCCAAGTGTACTATAATGTCACATATAAAACAATGTCTTCATATAAAGGAACACATCATATAAAAGTCTTACAGCACTGCAATTAAAAATTATGATTAGTTTTTTGTGTATTTTGAAAGCAGTTTCTATAGCTAAAATAAACTTGCTTATTTTAAACACTCTATAGCACTCATATAAATTGAAAAAACCTGATATAAATCAGGTTTGCATTTTGCAGGTGGATTGGCTCAGGCTCTGTGCAACACATTTGTCATTTAAGAAGTCAGTGACTCCTGAGAGAGCAACTTCTTGCACTGTGAGCAGAATTTAACCAATAGCAAATCTTACTGGAAGTATTTTTCTGATTTTATAAAGCAAGCTAAAATCCTAGAAAAATGTGGATAAGCAGGAGTGAATCAAAGCTCACCTCCAGACCTTCCTTCAGCCCTGTGCTGTGTAGGACTCCAAACTCAGTTTGGGGATTGCTAACTTCTCAGGGTGGGCTCACATCATCACCAGACACCTCCCCACTACTTACCAGGCCTCTTCTGAGCTAAAGAGTCACTTGCACTGAGCTGTCCTAAGAGACCAAAACATCTCTTTGCTCACAGCTGTCCACAGCTTCAGCTGGGGCTGTGCCAAAGGCTACCAGCAATTCCAGCTGCAAACTCACACTTCAGAACCACTCATTCTGCTCTTCTGCCTTGTCCTTGGTTTCCATGGGTGGCCATGCAGGATTTTCAGTCTTCACAGCCCCTTGGCTTAGTGCGCTGGGCTTTGAAGTGATCTCTCTCCTTCAAATGCTGCTGCCACTGTGAGATMAAACTGAGTAAAAGCACAGAGAAGTAACTTGTGTTACAGTCAAGTAAAAACTTGAATTGCCACATCATGTTCTTGGTATGCTCAGCACAGTTTGAAACTCAGATCACATCGTACAAGATCACACTATTCTAGCCCTGCATTTGCCTCCTGGAACTTACAGCTGTGGTGTTCAGACTGGAAGCTTGCTTTGCCTTAGCTCCCTCTTAAGTCAGGCAAAAATATTCCAGTGATGGATGTCTGAAGGTCTCTTACAACCACATTGTGGTAAAAATAGAAAAGAGAAAGAATTTCCCCTTCTAAGTAGAATGTGCGTAAATGGTCAGCAATTCATTCTTCAGTATCACAAAAACTCTTTCAAATTAGAATGACCACTATTAAAACTGTTGTAACTTTGATACTGAAGACACAAAAATGCAAAAAAAAACCCAAAAAAACAAAAGAAAAAACTTGGAGATGCTTCAAGTTTTTAGAACCTTTTTCATTTGGAGAAGTCAATCCCTACTGCCTTTGGCTGTACAGGACAGAAAATGCTGCTGGCCACATTTTCCCTGTGGTATTCTTCTGTGGTGGTACTAGTTCAATGCCATACAAGGGAGAAGGACAGCAGGAGACCAACAATGTCACCAGAACAGTGCTGTAAATGTGAGTTCCACTTCCCCAGATATTGAGGACTTGGCAGATAGGAGAGTGAGAATCATTCCTAAAGCTTCTATATTTCCAGTCCAAAATGGATAAAAATCTGGTCATGTAGCCTGGTCAAAATCTGGTCAGTCACTCACTGTTAATCTGGTGGGGCTGTGTCACARTTTAACTCCAGTAAGGAGCTAAACAGCACCCAGCCACAATTCTTCTAACACYAAGTATTTAATTTCTGCTAGGTCTTCCCTAGCTTTTGCCAAGATGGATATTTGTTATCTCAGGCATGTTAGAACACAGCCTTCATACAGCCACGTCACCTTAAATCTGAACAAAATCTTCAACAGTATCACGCTACAAACACGACAGCAGTAAAGAGCTAGTTGGAAATTCTTAAATGGGCAAAGTGATGTGCAATAAAATCACCACAAGCTTTTAAAGAAAGAAAATAGTTGCTACCCCACATGCACATCACTCTAGACTCTAACTACAGAAAGCTTTTCCATGACGGGAAACACTTGGAGCTTATATTCTCCTGCTGCAGTGCTTTGTGCCACGGGGAAGAGTATTCTAATCCAGAATAGTGTGATGAAAACCAGGTGGGCCTAAAAAGGTGCAATTTTTGTTCAAAGTGCATATGCATTCTCATCTGTGACCAGCTGACTCTTCTCTCAAGTATGCGCTACAAAAAACTAAAGGCACAGACTTCTGATTATTTTGTATCCAGAGCTCCAAGACCAGTTAGTGTCTGGAATACTGTAGTATATATTTATAGAACCATAAATACTTCCCAGGGAAAAAAAACTCAAACAAAGAACGCACACCACAAAAAACCCTCAAACACATAAGGTCAAACTAGTGAGTCATTTAAGGAAAAAAAGCCAGACATTGCAATTGACCCCTACCAAGCACATACATCTAAAAAAATCAGTGAGGACATCCTTAAAGGAAATCCCAAAATAGTGACAAAAAAAAAAATGCCAAATGAAGGCACAGAAACAAATTAAAGTTTCCCATCACGTTGTCAGGCAATAAATATACAAATTAGACACACCGGTGTTTACAAGGACTGTGGCAAGGTCTTTTTCAGACATTTATTTTTCTTCCTAATATTTCCCTTTCACTGCTAAATAATTTCATTCAGAGAACAGTTGTGCAAATGTAACTTTCACATCATAAATCTTTAAAAGCCTACAGTCTTTCCATTACATTTACTTCCTCTTCCCTACACAAAAAGGATTGAACTAAACATACAGTACAACACTGTTTAAACTTGTTTATTACATCTGATTTCCTTCTGAGTAACTAATGTAAAATTTCATTCAAATAGCTTTTCCTTAAAAATGCATTTCCAAAATATAAATAGAAAGTATTTTCCCATGCAGGTGTGTATCCATGTGCAACTTAGAAAGCCATGCAGGCAAGGTATTTTTCTTCTCAATATTTCTATTCTTTCATCACACTAACATGAATCACAAACACCAAAAAARCCCCAAAACAAAACAAAACAAAAAAACCAAACAAAAAAACCACCTAATTTTAGGAGTAAATAGCTTATTCCTGCTGTACAGTTCCAGAGGGAAAATAAAACAGGTACTTAAAACATACCTCATTGAAGCAGCARTAGTGTTGTTAAGTCACAACACTGTGACAGTAATGATGGGACTGCTTTCCGAAATGGAAACACTTACACAGACCACTAAATTGACCTGTTGTTCCCTAACTTACACTTATTGTAGAAGGCGTTTGCACAAGGCTASATCTCTCTTTTAAAGTTTTCGTTGTTTTTGTTAGCAAAAAGCCCAAATTGATTTATATTTTTAAAAAGGGCGGCAGATACTAAAAGAAGGCAGATGCCTGTATGACAGAAGCAGCTCTGCTGACTGCAAGTTACATTTTCTCATCTTCTCATCTTCTGACAACTGAAGTGTATCCCAGCTCAGCAGTACTGCTCCCATTTGCTCATCTGCTATATGTAAAATATGATATAACTTCACTGTGATCAATACAATCATTTTATTTACACATCTGTAGCAGGATGCTCTGCCTAGGATGCAGTAAAAGAACTTTAGCAATGCAAATTTCACAAAGCTCTGAGTGGTGAACTGAGGTGTCATGCAGCTTTTGGGGATGAATTATGCAAAAACCAATCTGACCCAGCAATCCCAGTTAAACTTCCGGATGGTGAGGTGAAGGTGTGACAGATACAGTAAAGTATCCTTATGTGAAGATGCTGAGCTGACACAGCTGACCTGAAGAATATGACAGACAGTGAATCACTTTATAGTCTAAAAGTACAGTCTCACTTTCAAATGGCAAGGATTTCTAGCATACTCCTTTTTGGAGCGTGTGTGGAGATTGATCTCTTGGGTGGGGACTCCTCTTAAAATGAGTTGAAGATCTTTGCCCACAGTCATTGGTGGGTGATAGGTCTCTACTCAATAATTGTTTCTTTTCTGATAGCTTTAATATAATTGCTTTGATATAGTACATTATACTATACTATACTAGTAGCATTAGTTGCTATACCATGTAGTAATTCTGATTGAGATCTTTTTGTCTAATAATTTATCATGATAAATCATTCATTTTTGTACATCTGGCTTTCCATCCTTAATTCTGCATGAAAAAATTGTACCAAGGTTCAATCACACCTGTAGAATTCCTTAGACTTACACTGTTGACCATGCCTGGAGCTAAGATTGGATCCAACCGCACCCAGGCTCCTCTCTGAGACGGAGTTTAGAAAGTCAGAGGTCCTTTCTGCCCCTTCTGACTGAGTGGGAGGGCTTCTCTAATAAACTTTGAAGCTCCCACAACAACATCATATACTCCATTCCCTCATGTCTTTTTAGAAACAGTTTCTGGAAATGCAGAGCTATGGTTGTTGTCAAACACTTTATTTTTCTACTTTTTTTAATTTAAAAGTAAAAAAGTCCAAGAAAGTYCCATACGACTCAGTAAGAGGTTTAACAAGTATCCAGGGTCATTTGCAAGTCTCTTTTTCATATCAAGTGTCTCCTCATCTTTTCCCCAAAGAACAGAATGATTGGCAACRTTTTAGTTACACTGCAAGATAAAAGTAGAAGTAGTAATCAGTAAAAAACATTACGGCAAAATAAGGGTTTGTCGAGCAGCTGCAGAAGAAAAATAAAGGGGATTCATATGAGAACTTCTTTCAGTTCAAATGTTATTTGACTTTTGCTCTGTTGTCATTTGAAAAGGCTTGGCRGCACAGCTACCGGAGAGAGCACGTGCTGTCATACAGCTGAGCTACAKGGAGAGCCCAAACATGCTGGTGTCCCCGGGTGACAAATGAGAGACACACCWGATAACGTTATTTCATGTGAAATTGGAGAGAAGGATGGGCTCTGRAAATATTTAATTGACAAATGCAGTGCAAAGTAATTATGATACCAAGCCTGCATAGCTGTAGTCAAAGTATTTAGAGACCAAGTGGGACTTTAAACCTCGCAAATGTGGGTTTATTCCACATGGGAACAGGCAGGCATCTGACTCCCAGTGATACTCAGCTGGCTCTGAATAACCGGATTCCCTCACTCTTCTACCAAGCAAAGCCCACAGTAAATGGAGATCATTCCTGTTGTGCCAGGTGGCCTGAGAGCTTTTAGTTGTAATAGTAGCAAATGGCAGTTCTGCTGATTTTGGAACAGCAACTTTGGTAGCGCTCAGAAGACAGAGAAGTTCCTTTGTACATTCTAAAGACATGGATAGTGTCTTCATTCAGTATTTCAAAGCCAGATGCCTGCAAGATTTCATGCTATTTTTTTATCACAGTGTTCTGCCATATATGAGTGCAACAACATCTTTTGTACCTGAAATGTTTATGCTACAATGAATGAAAAAAAAATTCGATACTTATTTCTCTTTCACCTATTGATCCACAGTAACTTTTATTTCCAGTGTCTCAATTCCTTCGTCTTTCTCTCCTTACTTCACTTTTGGACACATCTCTGCTGGAGATGATATGTTCACGTGACAAAACTTATGTGGGACTGATGAGTCCAAATGCTTTCTGTTCTGACTTTTGGTAGGAAATAAGCCTTTCAATCCCTAGAAAAATCCTTTTGAAAGAAACCTCTTCAACTAGGCAGCATTTCTATTCTGWGTCACATCAAATCTGAATGCTCACTGCTGCTGGAGGCTAGCTAGCTTTAGTCTTTGATGTGGATTTCAGGTTGACACAGGAAATCTCTTTGACCAGTTTTGTCAGTGAGCTTCAAGGACATTTCCACATTGCGAAACTCTCTGTCTGACTTAATTTCTATTTTTTTGAAATTACAGCAGACAGGTCAAAACTTATAAAATTTTGGGGTTTTGATGGCTTTGCCACARTTACAGAGGAGCCTGCAACTTTTTGCAAAGACATTTGGAAAGTTGAGTAAAAAGTCAGTTTAAGATTGGAGGTATCTCAAGTGCTCTAATTTGACAAAGCACAAAAAAATAAAATCAATTAGGAGCATGTTATGTATGGCAGCACAGATCAGAATTCTAAAGAAGACTCTGAAATTACTTCCAAATTCAAGGAWGTTTCTCCTACGAAGTGTTCAGAAATGCTTTCCCACTGTTTTAGTCAGAATAAACATTTCCAAACAAATATCAACAAATGAGGGCCTTGAAGGAGTCCTCTATTTCCAGAAAACTTGAAGAAAGTTTAAAGCCTTCATCAGTTTACTGGAGGTGCTTAAAGATTTACAAGACCTTGTCACTTAGTATTTTTTTTTTACTGGGAAAAGCTAACACTTTAAAYAGCTTTCATCCCTACTGAGGCAAGTCAGAAAATGACATGTAAACAACTTTTGATTTAAAATTAGGAATTTTCCCTAGAGGGATTTATTGGTAAACTCCTGTTCACACAAAAAAAAAGGGGAATATTACCATTGTTACCCGCAAATTCAAGATTTTTAAACTGGAATTCATTACCGATAAGATAATGACTGAAACTGTAAAGTAGATGAGAGTTTGGAGGACTCTGTCTCCTAAAGCTCTGAGTGATAAATTATTCCTCTTTCTGAAGTATCTCTGTAGTTATAATGAGTTATAGTGGTGACACAGAAGGCTGAAGCAGAATCAAAACTGTCCTTGCAGAGAATCAYTGGAAAGATTTTTATAGAAGTCAGCAGAAAATTAACTCCAAAAAAAACCTGCATCTTATTATGGTCATGCCAAAGCCAGCCATGACTGACAGACTCAAAGTACCATTGCATTTCCAGTACTTTAACAAAGATCAGAATTTTGCAGCCATTGTTTATATAAAAATTATCTACACAAACCACAGTATTGCTGCAAAAATCTTACCTRTGTGGTGTCTTGGTAATCCTTCCTACTGTTTTGGCTAGAAGAATAATGGGAGCAAAAATTTCCAAATATGCCTGTGCAGAGAAATGTAATTAATGGTTCTGKGGTGCTTCAAGAAAGAGAAAAATAAGGATAGATTACTTTATTAAAAATAAAACTACTTGCCCCCAAACTACAAACCAATATTCAAAATAAATTCATACTCAGTGAAACTCTGAGTATGATGTATTAATCCCTGCATGGGAAGGCTGTACTATTAGATTATAATGGCATACATTTAAAAGACAAATTTTCAGTAGCTGTAGAAAACAAGCCAACACTTCAGGAATACTGTTATATTTCACCTTATCTGAAAAAGGCAGATTTACAGAGATAATATTGAAGATCAAAAGACTGGAAGAGTCTTTCTTGGAGAGATGGGAGTCATGAAATGTCATCAGACAGATTGTTTGGCACCTGTTTTGGCTATTGCTGGCCTTTCTCAGAATAAAACTCCAAAAGAAAGAAYTTGTTCTCTCTGGGAGAACACAGCAAAGGTAGGCTTTTGACAAGAAAAAACCTGCTGAGAGGAATAAGTCTGCTGCTTATCCCTGCCRTAAGTCATGATTTTATGCAATACTAGAAGTTCCTGAACAAGAATCCCCCTTTTACAGGGCTTGGCACAACAGGCCCCATAAAGGTACTCTCTGGAGTTACTCATGTTATGTTCCTAATAATGTTTCTCTACAACAACAACAAMAAAAATCCCTAGGCCAAAAATCCCACCAATACACACATATATGTTGGCTCAAATGATTTGTATTAGGATAAAAGCTTAAGACTTCTGGATTTCAATATCTGCAACATCATGTGTAATTTTCTTGGGCTGAGAATGATATTGGGCCTATGCTACAGCAAGGAATCTACCCAATGGTCAACATTAAGAATTAAATCTAGTTATGCATAGATCTATCCCATTCTTCTGAATAGGATGAATTTGTGTCACAATAGATATCAGGCAAGAATTTCTATCACATAATGAACCACTGTTGACTTTTGTATGTATTCCTTTTAATTGTACTTTATTTCCAGTGATATTTCTACATCCATGGGTGTGTATCTGTTAATAGGAATAACATAGCTGTAATTTCCAGAGCCAAAAAAGTTTGCATTAATACACATAGGGTTTTGASATAGACAGCATCTTTGCAAAAACAGGGAAATTGTGTTTATATTTAAACAGAAAAAAAATATCAAAAGGTAGCAAAGACTCCAGCTTGCTAGAGGAAATAGCTATGAGCAGGAGTCAGCCAGGCAGCCAGGCCACATTATTGGTTTTATTCTACCATAGCATAATGAAACAATTCACCTACCTGCACTGCAGATTTTTACTACAATAGCAATTGTCAATGCTTTGCTGAGTTTCCAAAATCTGTATGGAACTGATTGTTGTGTCAGTCCCTAAAAATGTTAAGAATAATGGTTTATTCTTGATTATTTCAGAAATTTTAGATAAGAGCGTAATAAAAAACTGCAGTTAATCTACTCCCTTGATGGCCACTACAGGACTTGCTGCAAGTCTAAATTAGCACTCAGTTAAAAGCCTATGGTTGATTACTTCATTCTGCCATTGGAGATGAAATCCTTGCTCAGTTTGCAAGGACGAACACTCTGGGAACCTGACATTGGACCATTTTCTTTTGGGAAGACATTGAAAACTATTTGGCTGCAGCCCCAGCAGAAGACAAATGCATCAATATTCATTTTAATGTACCTAAACCCATAGTCATTGAAACAACCATTAACTTGAAAAACATTATCTCTGTTGAGAGAAATAATACAGAATGCAACAAAACTTGTTTCTAATCCTCTGTGCAAGGAAAACTACCCAATGAATTTCTTTTTAATGAATATTATAATTTCTTCAAAAATGATGCCTTGAACTTGCAAGAACTTTTGCAAGAGTTGTGTAATATTCTACGTACAGATGATGACTATAGCGATTGTTTTTCCCTGAGGCAGATTAGCCCCAGGAAGGGATAGGCAGCAAGAATCAGGGTGTTAACACAGCAGTACAGTTTCTTCTTTCACAGCTGGCCTAGGAATCACTCGCTGAGCTGCATCCTGAAGGGTTTACTTTCTCTGGATACACCCACAGCATCCAGTCAGTGCAGCCCCATAGTTATGACCTGCAGCATCTCAGACTCCTAAACCAGAGCATTGCAGTCTACACTGTGGAAGACCCTTAAACACAAGGGGCCAAACAGGTTTAATCCCTTTGAGTGGAACTAGGCTGATGCTGCCAAAGGTTTGGGAAAGGCCTGGGTGATCTAAAATCATAGAATTATAAAAAATCCTGAGCTGGAAGGGACCCACAAGATTACGGAGTCCACCTCTTAGTCCCGAGAGTGCTGTCCAAATCCTTCCTGAGCTCTGGCAGCCTTGGTGTCACAACCAGTTCTCTGGGGAAGTTGTTCCAGTGCCTGACCAACCTCGGGGTGAAGGACCTTTTCCTAATATCCAGTCTAAACCTCCCCAACAAAAACTTCATGCTGTTGTCTCAGGTCCTATCACTGATCACCAGAGTAAAGTGCCTGTCCCTTCACTTCCCCTCATGAGGAAGCTTTGGGCTACCAGGAGGTCTCCTCTCAGTCTGAACACACCAAGCGACCTCAGCTGCTCCTCATACACCTTCCCCTGCAGACCCTTCACCAAGACTTACAATGTGGTGCAGAAAGCACAAGGAGGACTTGGTTCAGCAGGCTCAAACTCTTCACATCACTCTGTGCACACTGGTTTTGTGTTTCTGTTCCTCTCGGCTACAGCAACCATTGCTTACTTTGCAAAGAAATTTGGTGAGTATAGGCTGACCTGTTCTCTRATAATAAAGTGTATGTGTGGTAGTATATACTTAATTTTCAGCATGCAAATATCCACAAGTGACAGAAAGAAATTGTGCATGTTCACTTCAGAGAAATAGCGCAGGAGAACATTTCCCTATAACAGCATCTCATTACAACATGTAACCTAGTGATGCCTCAGAGGATCTTGTCTGAGGTGTGTGTACCCATGCAAAAAAAAAAAAAAAAAGAAATCAGAGAAATCAGAAGGGGAATTATGTTTCCCAGATCATCCTACTGGGGCACATCCAGGCAACAAGCAGAACCTGTATTCTATACCTCAACTCCTTTAAGTGCATGCTAGTGTCTAGATGTTTTATCATCCAAATATTACCTAGTCATTAATCAAACATTTATTTTTAAAAAACAAGCCTTAAAACAGAGGATTCACATAAACCAAAAAGACACAAGGCATAATCCTGTTCATACTGAATGAATGCGAGAGCATGCTGTTATAACATATGTAGTCAGCAGATACTCATCTTTACATAAAAGAATCAATATTTTCAGCCCAGATTGGCTGTGACAGCAGTGCAGTCTCTAAAAGGGAACCTGAAATCAAGCCAAACTTCCTGTGTCAAGGAACTTAATTTCATCTCCTCTGAAGCAGGCAGTGTCAGGATCTGAAGGGGAGCTGGCCCCTTTCAGCAGCTGACATTTTAATCCCTTAGGTGAGTTGAGGCGAACCCCAAACACTTCCTTTGCACTGTATCATGAGTTTYCTGCACACAAATATCTCACTCATATCCTTAAGCACAAGATTTCAGGCCCTGCCAAGGAAAATGCCACTTGTCATTTTATTGTATCTGAAGCCAAGCCTAAGAACCCTCAAGAGAGGGCAGTCAGAATGTCTATGAAAATCTAATGAAGATGTAAGAATAAACTGAAAATTACAGTGAACCACAGGTTTCCTGTGGTTCACAGGAACTAGAGTCACAAGTGCTAATTCTCTGTAATGATGAGTTATAACTGAAACTTCTCTAAATTCCAGATGCAGAATTCCAAGCCTAAAAGKAGATCTTGAAAGTTATACAAGTACACATTTTAACTTCTTTTCTTTTTTTTTCGTTTAAATATAGAACTTAGAATAATTTCCAAGAATAGATCTTCTGCTATGTTTTTTGACTGAATCTCATTCAGGTAACATGCCTCTTATTTACTCTGTGAAAGGATGTATGTAAAAAAATCCCCCAAATTAGTCTTGCACAATTGTAACAGAAAAGTTTAAATATAAAATCAGAAGATATTTCATTAACTATATCTTGAATAAAGACATGCATAACCATTAGAGAAATCTTTAAAATAYAAAACACCTCTACTCAGAAGAAGATACACAGTCAAAATAAGTTTGCAGATAAYAAGTAACAAGCTTTTGAAATCTACAGGATATCGAAAATGTTTCCAARAAACAGGCTAATAGAAAAGATTTCATCACACACAGAGAACATCACCAATTTCTGTAAGAGAGAGCCAAAGCAAAAGTCAGTATGTAGCCAGGCATTTCAGCACAAATCTGATCATAAAGCCACATCTTTCTTATTAGTGAAAAAATGGCACTAGTAATTATAAGCATCTGGCATGCAAATATAGGATTGGGGAACAACTTAGATTTTTGAATGTAAGATCTGAGGATATGGAGGACTGAGCCAGTACTTCAGAGAAAGGATGCATGATACATGGCTCTAAATGTAACACGATCACTGTGTTCACTGATGTCACCTCTGCAACTTCAAACACCAAACTAGGYTGGACAATATAAGCTGATGACTTCTTTTTTTAATTCTCATTCTATTAATTTTCTCAGCACTTCTCCAGAAAAGTGAAACTTTACAGGTCTTTTGAATAATCATCACACAGTACAACTTGGGGAAAGCAAATGGCCCTTCATACTCATGGGAAATGGTTTAATGCTATTCCCATGCTTTCACACAAATTGCCAGCAAAGAATCTGTTCAGAGACATGTCAGCAGTAAACTGGCACTGAGAAATGCTGACTTTGCCTAAATTAACAGGCTTCATCAAACACCATTTCTAGAAAAACCAAAATACTCCATTCCCATGTTTTCCAAAGGAAACTTTCAGAATTACTGTTTCAAGATAGGAAGGAAGGACCAAAATGCATTATTACTGAGATTCAAACAAGACATCTTGTTTGGATAGGATTCACCCTACTGTTTTCTTATTCATTCCAGATTTGGATTTCATTTCAGTATTGGGAAAGAAAGTAGACTTTTCTCATGCTAGTAGGTGACCAAGAGCATGGTGCAACATTAACAACTGGAATCCAAGGGTCCAGAAGCAACGYAATACAAAATCATATTTGGGATTTCAATCTGTTTTGTGATTTTTTTATGAATCTCTCATACTGCTGCCAGCTAGTCCTTGAATCAATTTTCTGCTTACAAGCTCATCATACAGATTTACAAGTTCTGCCAGTACTGGCAGTAACTGCTACATTTAATAGTCATCTGCTTTCCCATTTCATGATACTGTTCCACACACCTAGAAAAATGGCTGAACACATGCAATCACTTATACATGTACGGTTGTCTTGGGGCAGATCTAATACAAACCTGTTCATTCTCTCATTCCTCCCTTTCATTCACAAACTAATTGTCACACCTTCCTTTTCCCCTGATTTCTCTTAATAGTCCAGATATGCTAGCAAGGCATTAAATGCTGTGATTTCATATTTTCAMTAACAGAGAACCATTCTGTAGGAAAGGCTATATGCCCTAGCAGAGGTGAAAGATTGCTCCATAGTTCAGCCATGCAAGTGTTGGTAGGAATATTTATTAAAACCTCTGAATTAATAAGCACTTAAAACTGTGATTCTTTTGCAGATGATAGAAGAAAGCATTAAGCGGTATCAGAATTTTGTACAAAAACCAGGATAAAGACAGATTTACTTCACTAAGATTTCAGCTATTTAAACTGAGTCAGTAATCAGTATAGAACTTTATTTTTACTTGGGTTTTTACTCATCATAAAAYTACCATTTCATTGTCCTTTAAGCTGTTGCAATCGAGATTTGGAGTGCAAGGTGCCAGTTGAGATAACCAAGAACTACCAAAAASCACTGCAGCAATCTTCAATAAATTGTAATAAAATCCCACTCTTTCACATATAGTAACTCTGAGGACTTTCTCAAAGGCCCATGTGGGGTGTGAAGATCCAATTCAATAACAAATATAAAAGTACAATCATAACATGAATGTAATGAGGAAAACCATCATCTTCAGATAAGATTAAGGAAAGCTTATCCAATAAATGTGGTATCCTTTTTTTTCCCCCTCAAACACTTCCTGTTTTTAATTTAAGTGAGTTGTAATATTTTGTAAGCAGTGTGGGGAAAACCTGCTGATGATTTCTCATGGTGGTGTTACTCTACTATCAATCTGATAACTACCATCTCAAGGCAATAAATGTGAATGCATGAGACTGACCAAAATCCAGCAAGAGCCCTCACCAACCTTTTGTTGTGAGGGGAGAAACACTGTAAAAGAAAATAAGGACAGCTCCTGGTTATTGTGACTCAGCATTCAGAGGAGAGGAATGAGCACAAATGACATGAAAGCAGAGAGCAGAAAAGGCCCAAATGCTGAAGGGTGTTCACATTCCTCAGTTCCACTGAAATCAATGGAAGTTCAAAAGCCTAAATCCTCCAGGGAAATCAGTTAAAACAAAGTATGAGGAAAAAAGGCCACATTGAGCTAGACAACAAAAAGATATGCTGAGGTTTTTTAAAATAAATTTTGTCTTGCTTATGAATGCTTTAGTTTCTACTTGAACTTTCCTAATAGCCTCTCCTCAAAAAATCTGGGATGCAAAGGATTAGGAGCTACAATGGATAGACTCACTAGTACTCTGCACTCACCAAATTCAGGTATCATATTGTGGAACAACAAAAAGTGAACTCCTAAATTAGTATTTAATTTGATTGCAATTTTAAACAATCCTACCTTTCCACTAATCAGACTAATCAGCTGATTCTAAAGTATCCACTTTTTATCTTGATTATTCCCCATGTTTGACTCTTAGCTTTTTGTTCTGAAAACACTTTCATTTATCTTGGCTACAACTACATTAAACAGCTTGATGGTTTTCCTTCTGTTTGAATTTCATATTGACATTGTTACCTTCCATCTGGGGATATATTCAGGTTCATTAAACTTGTGCAGAACTGAAATCTTTCAGTGGCTTGTGTACTGTGCTGATTTTTCACTCTTGGATCCACACTTAATGCTATTTGGAGCATAAGACTCTGAMAAGGTAATGCTTTGTGTTTATTCTTATCTTTTCTTTCCACCTAATATCAGAAGCAGGCAGCTGGGGATAGAAGTTTTTCTTATTTCATTTTCATCCATCTACAATTGCCTCATTTATAAATGAGATTAATGTCTTTTTAATTAATCAACACTCTTTCAGTCTTCAGAGCAATAAAAATCACTTAGGTATGACATCTTGAACACCCTGTATTGAGCTGTATCTGCCCCAGGGCTCACTGCAGCACTGATCACAAGAAGCACAAGGACCACTCACATCCAGCTTGTCTGCAGGGTGAAGAATGGCCAGTGAGTCYCAGGAAACAGCTCATGCTGAGAGTGTCACAGCAATTGGTAATGCCTGCCCTGGCACACACTGGTACTTCAGAGGCTGAACTGCATCCATCCCCAATTTTCACCTCACTTTGTCATCTGTGGTACAACAATTGTTCCCAAGGCCAAGATAGGAAGAGTATGAATGCTGGTTTAGGAATATTGACACTTGCTTCCAGACACTGGCAATRTTAAGGACTGGGGAAAAGGAACACAGATTCCCACAATTTATGCATACCTTTATGCATTAACCCTTTCTTATAAACATTATTGAAGCTGTAAACAACACTTCTTCTACCACACATACAACATCTGTCAGACTATTGGTAAAAGAATTCATTCCAGCAAAAGGACTTTATTTTATAGAGCTCTTCCTTCAAATAACACTTTTCAAAAACCCTGCCTGAACAATCAGAGTTTCAAGGTAAGTTTTATGTTTTCAGGCAGTTAACACTCTGTCTCTGCAGACAGAAAAGATGTAGCATCACCACACTGGGACACATTCAGTTTTTTAGGTTTTTTTTTACATTTGTTAATTCATTCTCTGACACCCCCACTCAAATCCCATTCAACTGTAGCCAAAGGTTAATTAAAGGGATTACTGACTTTCCTGTTCACATCAAATAATTTACCAAGAATGGCCAGGAAGAACAGTGACACCTGACAAAATATCTTAGGGCCCCGAATTTTTAAGAGAAACCAAGTCAGATTTTTCAAAAACATATTGACTGTAGTGATGATTAGTTATATCAAGATTTTCTAAATCCTCTGGACCAAACTTTGTAGAAGGCTAATTACCTTTAAAGATTCTTGCCCCTTCCCCCACACTTTCCATATAGTCTCTACTCAAATGGTAAATAACATAAATTAATTTTTTTAACTTACATCTCTCCTTTGCATTGCTTTTTTCATAACTTAGAGATTTGACTTTTGGTTGATGAATTGGACAACAACAGACCTTGTCACAAGGCAAAAGTCACAGAAATTCACTTCAGGGATCCTGCTGATAGGCTGCGTGTTCTGAGAAATTGTCCTTTCCCTCTGCAATGCTAAAGCAAAAACACAAAAACCCAACAACACCCAAACAAAAGACAAAATGTAATTCTTAAAAATGCTGYCAAATGGCATTTTATAATACCCTGTTACGTTATGCCAACCAGCAGACACACAGTACCTGCTGTTTTGGTAGAGGGAGACAGTAGAACAGAACTTGAAGTACTGCTGAGGAAGAAAAATAATTCATTAAGAAATAGACATTAGAGCTGAAGACCAAAACAAATTGATTGGTCTATACACAATCATAACTAATTCTACTATTTTGAATTCACTAATAGTAATTTAACTACTTTCCTGTAAACTGGATGCTTCTCAAAGCGTCTGTCATGAATGCTAATTAAATATAGGCTCCATATTGTCAAAGCACTGTAGAAAGAGAATTATTCTGTAGATTCACATCCAACTTTCATGCAATATGAATAATACCTTSACAGCATCATGTTCAAATGCAGTCATGCAAATGTTAAATATCTGATCACTTTCCCTTTAGTGGGAAAGATTTCAGCTGAATTTAATGGGGTTTTGATCAGATACTTATATACCATTTTGTGTTCATGTGTTTGTATTCAGCACAAAATATGGCCAGTTTCCAACCTAAATAGAATCACCAGTTCAAAGTACTCGGTTCACAAAGGGATTGTAAACCAGAAGTTTTTGGACTGGAAACAGAAAATGGCAATCTCTGTAGTCCAGAGCATACTTTCCTTTCCACAAGTCCAATGTCACACGTTAAACTTTCAGATTGACATAACCACCACAGTGGGAATGAGTTCAGCTTCATTTCACACAASAGAATAACTCTGTACATCAGAAATGGTACTTAGTCATGGAATGTTTGCATGAAACATGCAGAGTCCAGTTTGGCACTTGTACAAGTCACTGAGGTACAGTCAAGGTGCACCATACATTGTGACATGGAGAGATCAGATGTGCATCCATCACATGAGTACCTCACTTTTATACAATGGTTTCCACTTTATTATATTATYAGGCATAATCGTTGCTAATTTTAATAGATTGTTCTCTTTGAGTAGGAAGGATGAAAAGAAAAAAGGTACTATATTCTTTCAGATCAGTAGAAAGGAGAAGAGAGAAACCAGTCAAATTTTTGTTAATTTATTGTAACCATAGTGCCATAATAGCAATCAAAGCTATTATAGTCACCTGGAAAATCTTCATGGAGCAAGATTCTTTGGTCTTTGACAAAAAAACCTAGGGTAAAAAAAAATGGTTAATTTAAGTGGCACATATCTAAGGTACTGCTAGCAGATTAAGAAATACTATACTAGTCTGACTTTACATCACCCTTGCTTCTTTCATAGTCACCCTTATGTAGGGGTCAATATCTACAGAGAAAAACTTCAGTAATTAAAGTGTCTCTAAGASTCTGAGTGCACTGTGTATTGTTGATAGTCTGGGGACACAAATATTACAGAGGAAGAAACAATAGCTAAAAATAACAGCTCTTTGTCCTTTCTTCCTGCCATTTTTCATACTTTTGAAGCATTTCAAAATCAAATTAAGAACTCAGTAARTAGCTTTCTGCATGTGCTCAAACCATGCTAAACCAGGACTGGTATAAATACAGAAGGAAAGGCACTTTCCAAACACTTTCCAAGGATGACTTTCGATGATGGAGCATTTGACTGTCATTATGGTACAAAGAACATTTCACAAGGGAATTATTTCCCCTTGCTCTTTGACACTGGCAGAAGCAAGGTAGGCAAATGAGCATTGGTTCGTCTTAAATAACAGGACTCGGCAGCCTAGAAAAACTGTCTTGAAAAAGGTCAACATATATATTTCCTTACTCATACAATTCCTGTGAAAAGGGGTATGTATCCACTTTCTATACCACAATACAAGCAAGAGAAAGTGAAAACAAATCACAGTGAATGACTCAAGCAAGGACTGAATTTCACTCATCTTCCTGGATTTTGGCAGGAATGATTTTACTGATGGCAAACGACAGTTAGCTCGACTATACCTGCTGCAAGAGACAAGATCTCTTTAACATTCGAATGCTTCAGAAACTAATTAATAAGAAAATACTTTTTTTAATGTGTTAATGTCACTTGTTTTTTCAATTTTCACATTTACAAAGAGTAAGGCAGAAGTATCAGCAGATTCATTTTCAAGGATAAAAGTCTCCAGTTAACTCTTTCAGGTGAATGTTTTTAAATGCTACAATTGATTTCAAAGAAAACTTGTGGAAATGGCTTAGAAACAGGAAAGGCTCATTACTTCCACTGAAGCACTAATGGAAGATTCTTTCTTGCAGAAGAAGCTCTGCAGATTTGCCTTAGAAGCAACTTCCAAGTTCCAGAGCTGTAACTGGACAGAATCTACCTTTGCTTTATGCAATAGAAACAATTTACCAACCATTTCAAAAATAATTGTCAGTGAGTAAAAAAAAAAAGACAAATTTGGGGTGTTTTGCGCAACTTAAATGCTGGAAATTAGCTGAACTCTACTGTCAAGCAAAATTAGTTTTCACTTCTATCACAGAGATCACTTTAACAATTTGTGAGACAACTATTTGAGAACATCCCAGCCAGAGGTACCTGACTTTGCTCTCCTCACTGACTGTTGAGTTTAAACTGCTCATGCATTTCAGTTTGGCCAGTTTCCTATTCAACTGTTCCAATTCTTCTATTCTGAATTCAAGATTGTTAGTTCACAAAGCTGCTTTACAGCACCAACATTCTCAATAAAGATCTGATCCCGAGAAGCAAAACGACCATAAAAGTAGGTACATAATATATTCATAGTATATTCATCAATCAGATGCAACAAGCAGAAATGAGTGCAGAATTCACCTATGTAAACACAAGTTATCTCACTGTAAATGGGAAGCACTTATGACCATAAAACCCTTTTGCTAGATATTAAATCTGCGGTAAATTGAAAATGAAGACTTACAGAAAAAATTGAAGACAATACAGGGCTTTTTAGATCAAGAATTTAAATTTTATTTTCCCTTCATACTGTGTTGAAACTTTAACAGTGTTTCAACAGGCATCTGTTACTTGATTTTCCGTGATGCAGCTGAACACAGATTTCAGAATCTCTTAGCAAAATGTACATCCAACCATCTACCTGCAGGCATTAGGTAGGCTCAGACAAGCCAGAATTTCTATCCATAGCTTAATCATGGTATTAACCACACAGAGATAAGCGAGACAGGTTAAAAAGCAACCCTGAAGTCAAACTGTGATTGCATAGTATTTTGCTGTCACCCAATATAATAGGGAGGCCTAAAGGACAAAACTAACTTAGTGTCACCACCTACTACAACTGCTATTCTACTAACATCTAAAAATGAGCTACAGGCTGGAACACTGACCAAATAGAGCAAAACTTCTAACTCTTCATTTCTACAGTATCTCTAGAAAGTGCTYTTTCTACAGCTTTATTCAAGGTATCTAATTCCTACTTCTTTTATTGGAATATGACCTAGAAGATTTTACCTATGAACTAAAAGTATTTATAGACTATGAAAAGGTGACAAGTGAAATACAATATTTTTATAGGAATTTTCTCCAAGTTTGGTGATATAAACTGTAAGTCCCTTCACTTCCTGGGCTATTCCTGTTCATGAGGTAACAAAAATAAATGTCAGGAAACACACTGGCATACCTGCTGACCATTCTAAAAACTACAGGCAGGGCAAAAGATGATCTAGAATTTCTCTGTGGTAGGAAAATCCAGAATTTCAGGGCATTTTCTCCATTCCACAGAAGAAAAACCCGAGAAACCTTTAGAATTCTCATTCATCTGGAGTAAGAACAAAACTGTTTGTAATCACATATTTCATTCTCATTAAATTCCTAGAAAATAAACTTCTCATGTTTAAAAATCAAAACAGAGGTTGCAAAATTACAAGCAATTTGTATATTTAAAAATTTCTGCATTTTTATACTGCAAGAGGTACACAGCAAAGAGTGTAATTGCAGTATCCTAAGAAATGAGGATGAAATAGCAGGGTGTTAAAAGGCACTATGGCACAATAAATATCAGTAGATGCTAATGAAAAATGGGAATAGAGCTGCTTTAATACCTGTTTCACGGGTATCATTTATTCCCATAACAGATGCAAATTCAGGCTTGTAGTCATATTCCACCAACCTCATTTGTGTTATTCTACTCAACTGCCCATTTGTATCGACCTAGTTGGAAAAATACCAAGACTTTACATATTGAAACACTAAGCATGGCATCTAGGACACCACTGAGAGAGCAACTAACCTGACACAGTCATTTGGCTAATCATCACATTGAAAAATACAGACAGTCTTCCCATTTCCCACTATCAGAGTGCTGTTTGTATTTGTATCACCAGTTACCCTTGAGTTTGACAATTCCCAGCTTCTAGAGAGCCTTCTCCAAAGTCTACAGGCGATGGTTCTGCAGAGCACAGTGCTATGTCTGGTTTCTTGAGGCCCACATTTCAGCACAGCCAGGATATGGAGCTGTTTCCCGTGTCAGAACAATGATCCCCACATGTGCTGTGGTGCAAACATAAATGCCCTAAATACTCCATAGCCCTCACGTCCCGATACTCTGTTTTGCTCGGCTGTCAGACGGATGCATGACTCTGCCCATAACTTTGGCGTTTCCACAGACAACCAGTGCTTCATCTGGTGCATCTGTGTTAATTCCTACTCGACCATGATAGACTATCAGCTCTGGAACATGTCCTTGCTGCCACAGTACATCACTGTCATTCTCAAATTGCCGTGGGTTAGATGCCTGGAAGAAAAATTTTTATTTAAAGACACAGTGTAGTTTATTCTATCAGAAATTTGGGGGAAATAAAATCCAAATCTTAAATATTAAAATCATATTCAAGAGCTTTTTAACACACTAACAGAAAAAAAATAGTGTTTTTTTTAGTCTGTTAAGTGACTGCTGTCATCACTTTTTACCCTKGAATTCTACTTTATTAGCACCTTAAGCTAAATTGACAATGTCCAAAGCTTCCCAAATTTTAACTTTGGTTATGTGGTATAATGTTATTCTTTATCTACCACTAAATTTTAGTTGGGACTGGAAATCAGAGTGAGAAAAACAGGCAGAGATTAAGCATCTGTGATACATAAAAACATATAGACATATAAAATCCTCTGTAATGTTTAAATTAACTGATACTAGAAATTTCAAGGAAAYAGAGTCTTTTAAAGAACACCAATAAAACAACAGAATGCATATAACAAAAAAAAAGGCATTTGATTTCAACAGTTCATTTTGGTTTGGTTTGTTGTTTGGAGGTTTTTTTTTAACTTTGAATTCAGGCCAACGTACAATCATGATAAAAAGAAGCCTGGCTTTCACAAGGCTTTGCCAGCTACAAGGCCTGGCACTGTGTACTCCCCACTGTTTGTCACAATTAGAGCATGATCTGATCTGCCTGACAAGCACTACTCAGCTGGTAGTTGTGTTGTGTYTTTSGGTAAAAAAGGCCAGAAGATGAGCKGCTTTTTCTCGCARCACATTTGCATGGCTTTGCTACTTTAAGACAGCCATTGGCTGAGTCACTTTACCCTGCCACTGGAGACCTGTTGGACATCTAGAAAATGACTTTTTTTTTTCCTTTGGACCAGAACCTCTTGACCTTTCTTCTTTACTGCCTTCTTTTTCCTTTTTCTGAAATAGGAATAGGCCAGGTTTGCAAAATCTCATTCCATGAATTCCTGTTCAAACACTGTCTCACATACATTGAAGGAGCCCTCTTCATTGAAATTTTGAAARAATCTAATTTTTAAAATAGTAGGAAAATGTAAATTTCTAAATCTTACATGAAATATGTATAGCTTGTARAGTAACAAGTATGAGTCAAAGGTGAAAATTCAACAGATTCCCCAAATTATTAATGAGGTGATACCTGTAATAGTGTTAGATTCAGAAAGAGAAATTCAGATGAAAACAGGATTGTGGAAATTAATGGWCATATAAAGGAAAACAACTATATAATACATGTAGGAATTATGCAAACACAGTGCTTCAGCATCCTGAAGCAAAAAAAAACCTACAGCAGCAGCCAGGATGATAAAACTTCTCAGTAGGGCAGAAATCTGCTGAACTACACACATTGCTTTCAAAGACTTTTCACAGCTCTACCCAGAAAGAAGCTCTGGGCCATATTGCCCTCCAAAAAAACTAGCCATAACTGAAGGAAGAGGGCTCAGAAGAAAAAGGAGCCAGGAYCGACACCATCTGAAAGCCCTCATTTTCCTTTGGAAACCACTGAGCAGCACCCCACATGCTGGAGATTTGCCTTTTTGCTCTCTCCAAACCCAAATGCTAATCCTGACCATAAGCATAAGCCTAGCCCTTCTAGGATWAAGGGCTGCCAAAAAGGACCCAGGCAATGGCCTGCAAAAAATGATGCCAGGACTAAAAGCTTTTGACAGCTCTTGACATTCTTTAGAAGCCTCTTCCCATCTCCATTTAATGGTTTAACACCAGAGCTCTTGGTCTTATTTGACCCAAACCAAAATGTGAAGCCTGTTCCTCTTCATAAGCCAAGGCTACAGAGAGCCCATGCAAACAAGAAACAGCTCCTCAACTGGCCCACACGAAAACGTTCAGYGGACTGCAATCTTCCAGAGGCTCTCTCCACCTTTTGCAGCCCCAGCACATTCCCCATCTTTCTAAGCCCTAAACATAATATTCARCCTAGAAATAATGATAATTCTAGACTAAGCCCCGTTCAAACATTAGCCACCACCATTAGATCACATGAAAAAGGGGACAGGACTGAAAGCTTTCAGCAGTCCCCACATTCCCTTGGCAGTCCCCTTGCAATCCCCCACTCATCCTGTGTTTTCTCTCTCTTCTAACACTAGTTCTCCATAGCTCTTTTTACACTACAGATCTGGGCTTTTTCTCTTTTCTGAGTATAACTGTAGGCTAAAGTTGAGTACTAACAGAAAAACTTGCTGTGAATCAGGGACCTAAAAAGTAGCAGTTAAGAGGAAAAGAGATTATTCTTCCTTTTTTGTAATTTGAAACCTATGTTACTACCATCAAATTGAGAATTGGGACACTCTGGAAAGACATTGGAAATACAAAGCTATGGGTCTTAATCTTCCTAGACCTGCTTGACTTTCTTTCCTTTTTTTTTTTCCTTCTCATCCTTCTTGGAAAACTAAGACTCTGGCCAATAAAAGCATTTACAAAATTCCTGGCAAGTGCAATAAATTGTTCTACCTCAAATAAAAAAAATCTGGAAAAAATCAATGTATTTTGTATTGGAACTCATAACAAGCTTTCTTTTTAAATTTTTCTATAGCTCTACTTTTAATATTTTTAATTTCTGATAATTAAAAGGCAACATAAAACATGCAGTCTTTTTGAGTCAGTGGTAATTTTTATTCCTCAAAAGTCATGACACTTCATAATCTCCTGGGAATATCAAAACAGTAAATACTTTTACATGAAAGTAATAAAAAATTATACCAACCTTTACAATGATCTGTTAGAGACATTTGCAGGTAGTAAGTAGAACTGCTCCTGAGAGACAGCATACAGTACAACTACCAGCATGAAGTATCTAATTTAAAATTGATTTAATCAAAACAATAACTGAAGTAGTGCCTTCTCACAGAAAAAAAAAAAAAAAGTTTTAAATACAGCTATTATTGATACATGAAAAGACAAAGTTTTTAAAATGTATTTCTTACAATATGAAAGAAAAGGTATTTCCCTAACTCTTAAGAAATATGCTCTTACAATCCCCACAATCACTGAAAATTAACAAAGAGTACAGTAATTTTGAAAGCTTTAAGTAATGAAGTCTCAAAGATGAAGACCTTTTCTGCCTCAGAAGAAAATTATAATTACTTGGGGTTTTTTGCTTCCTGATTTTGTCAGCCAATATCCTGGCTATGATTTCCTGAAATTATCTCTAACCATGAGGATGAAGTTTGGGACATTTTTATTCTCTCTCATTCTGTGAGTACAGAGAAAGAGAATTTTAAGCACATACCAAGTATCACAGAATTTTAAAAAACCTCACTGATTTGACTGCACTGAGATTTTTCATAAACATTAACTCTATTCCGAATAGATCTTCTCTTTCTASTTCCAGCATCCAGGTCAACTAGCTACGCAATACTTCTGATCAGGATTAGATTTCCCCTTTTTTCTCATAGTATTTGCAGTAGTTTCACTGAAATGCAGACTTCCCAGTGTTACCTCAGTCATCTGGTCCCCTGGCAGTTCAACTCTAAAACAGAAAAGGAAACAAGATTAGGGAAGTAAGTATTTGGAGATCTACCACTCAATCCAGATTGCCTCAAACTCATTAAAACAGTTCTGAGAAAAACTGACAAATCAATAAAACAGAGGAACCCCAGTAAAAATGCAGTAACCCTGGTTTCYAAAAATGTATTAAAAACAATGACTATGTCAAGGAGATAAACAGGATAAAGCACCAGCAGTAGGAAACTGTTCTTARTAATAAAGGTCTTATGTTTCTTGGTCTGTTTGTACAGATTGACTGTAATAAAACTGTATGTGTTCCATATGATGGCTATTTGCTGCCTGCCAGGGTTAATGGCTGCTTGCTTATTACTGGGCCTGAATTTCCACATTAAAATTAATAGGTCTTACTGCTTGTCCTTCTTTTCATCTGCAYCTAATTTGCTCGTCTGGAAGTAAACAATAAACACCTAGGTCTCAAACACATAATGGTAGTCCTCCAGTAAGTGATAAATAATACAAATAAAGAGTCTGTATAGATAAAATGAAAGTTCACCAAACAGTTATACATGAAATCATTTACATGCACATGTAATCTATTTGTCAGTATGCAAAWGGAAGAAAAATGTCAGGAGAGAGGTAATTCAGTAAAAATCAAGCTCTTCTTCCAAGCTCAAAGTTCTCTACAGGTAAAAATATAGCACAGCCTTTATCCCAGCACTGCCCTGTCTAACTTGACACTGTCTTATCTCTTGGTGCTGYAAGGCTTATTTAATTATTTATAGAGAACAGAACAGCTCCAACAGAASAAACTTATGCCAGAAGAATAAATATTGATTCTGTCAGTGAGTTAAATGCTCAAAAATGGCAGAGTTCCAGGAAGATGCTGCATATGTGTTTCTAGTAGAGGCACTTCCCCTTAAAAAGCACTGCAAATATATCTCATGCCCATACAGGACAGGAACATTCTGACATTTTTTAAGAGGGGAAATGCATCTGCCATACAGCTCTAAGCAGCATAAAAGAGTGTTTCTAGCTGAATATAAATACCTTGGATAGACACACTTAACACATCTGTAAAGCTGCTGAAAATTTTCCTTTGTAGAGTGTGAACAGGTATATATTACTACTGTGATTCTACTGTACACTGACAATGAAATCTGGATATAAATCAGAAAACATAGAGCTTAGAGCTACTGTAAGAGCTTAGAGCTACTGTAAGTTTTCAAGAAACAGCTACTTCACATTTCAAACCAATCACATATATTACAATAAAATGGAATAATTTTCTCAAAATTCTTACTTAGCGGGATGAAAAGTTTTTTTGCTTTGATCTGACTGAGACTGTTCAATAGCTTGATTTGGAGCTTCAAATTGTTTGATTTGGAGCTTCAACCTATGACAGAAAAAATATTTGCAAAAATGACAAGAATATTACAATTTTCAAACACATAAAAATTGAAATAGAAATCAATAGGCATATTGGGCCTAAAACAGTGAATTGCACTAATTTCTAATGGAACTACATAGAAATTAATAGAGGAGCTGACTCCTGATCAATTGATAATTGACATCTAATCTGAAGACCCAAGTCTTTCTGTAGATGTAATTTGAAAGGGGAAGAAAAAAAAAAGGAAAGCAAGTCATGCATTAATTTACAAAAGAAAAAATGCTGTCTGAATTCAAACTGTTATTGGCTCATTTCATGACAAAGMATAAGTGCAGATATTCAACATGAGAACTGAACCTACATACGGCAATTATATGTTCTTGGTCAAAAAAATTACTAAGAAAAGAGTTCACTTCAATAATTTACCTCATATAAAATTAAAAGTAACAATTTCAAAAAGGAGATACATTTGCCTTAATTCYGCAAGCTTTCAAAACTTTTCTATTGGTTTCCTCCCCTGCTGAGTTTTGACATATTTTAGATGTCAGGTGATTCTAATAAGAGCTGTGATTTGGAAATGATTCTTCTTTTGGCACACAGAAGCATCATCTGCTGTTGAAAAACTGAATCCTTTATCTGTTACAATGCGATATCCTACAGCAGGTCTACAGAAACAAGGAGAAGGAATAGCAACGTTAAGTACTGACATACTTGAATGACATCTAGAGTTCCTATTTTTTTCACGTGGCCCAAAAATCCATCTGTTTTTAGTGACAAAATTTGACCCAAAACACACCCTTACAATCACCAGTTCTATTGGTATTTTCTTCTTAGCCTGTATAAGGTGTAAAAATGAAAATGCATATAAAATGTCTTCTAATTCTAGAGACACAGAACATCAGTGTCCAGCAGTGACACTGATACACGCCCAACTCCCACGAGATATTTTGGCAGGTTGGGCTAGAGGAACATTAAAATTTACTGTGATATCTAAGTCCAGTGGAGACAGTGACAAATTTTTTGCACCAGTCCTGAAGAATTAACCAGATGCTGCAGAAAAGGGTTCATTTGTTAAAAGGTTCATACAGTAAATACTAAAATAAAGAAAATCAGGGATGTAAAGGGAACTGGGAATAACCTTCTCCAGATCATGTGTTCAAAAAAAAAAGTTATTTAAAGTTTGATTTACACTGGAAAACACTAAATCTTTGACTAAACAGTTGCATGTCACATGTACATCTTCAATTATTAAGACTTAAGTGAGTCCAAAAGTGATACAGGTAACTTCTAATGGTTTCCTTTAATGTTTTAGGCACCTAGAGGGAAAGGTGCCATTTTCTTAACAATTACTTGCTCCCATGCACTTGACAAAATAAACGAAAGTTAACTGGTATCTTAACCATCTTTTCTTTTGCCCCTAAATTCCTGAAGGGAAATCAGAAAGCCTGGCATTAATTTCAACCAGTGCTTCAAGTTCAGCTTATCTGATACATCTGCAAGTTCCTATTTCATCATATCTGTTATATTTCTTTCTCTGTTCTTATTTCCGGTAAGAACATGGRATGCCAAATGTATCATTTATTCCTACAAAACTACAAGAACAGATTAAAAAAAAAAAAGGAAAAAAGTCCCACAGGAAACCAATTTTTTTCAAGTGCAAGCATCAATGCTTACAGTTTTTCATAGCTGGAATTAAATAAGCTGTTCCACTGAGAAGTTTGATATGGTTGCCATGTAAGAACTTGACAGCATTTTTCTAAAGCTGCATTCTGTCCATCACTGTCATATTCTTGCATTTCATCAGCACAGTCCCCTACAGTTGCTGTAGAGASATAGAGACAATTCAGTTATTTCTTTTGGAACCAGCCAAAAATCCTTAACAGATATTTTTATTAATATATTTACATAAATATACATACATAAAAATCACAAATGCAGAGCACATATATTTAAATTTGATTTTCATTCGCAATAATGCTACAAGATTGTGTTATATTCCCTTACTCCAGAAAATAAACTTTTCAGCTTTCCTGATTTTCAAATAGTACACAAGTGGCATCCTGTTTTTTATTCTCTCCAAAAAGATGGATAATTTCCTTTGGGAGGAGAAAAAATAAGAAGGAAAGCTAAGAATTTTACTGTACATCTGCAACACTGCAAGAAGCAATTAAGCAAAAGAATKACATTTGTTTCCCATTCCCTGTACCACAAGTTTGAATTGAAGAATATACTGCAGGAGGCACAGTTTTCCAATAGCAARCACATCTGGTCGATCTGGTTACTGCTTTCTGCTTATGCATTACAGAATTCTTTGACAGACAGGGTCAGCCACGATTCTCTGAGATATTATACATTTTATGAAGACAGAGGAGAATGTGATAAGAGGGACAGATAAACAGAGTGCAGTAAGGATAGAAGAAAATCTGTCATTGAGCATATAACTACGATCCATCCACAGCCAGTGACAGCACAGTAAGAGAGAGCCTTCACAGCCACTTCAGGCCCAAGCTTCATTTGCAAGTCTACGCTTCTGACATACAGCAAAAATAGACAGATAGATAGATAGATAGATAGATAGATAGATAGATAGATAGATAGACAGACAAATAGACAGATATATAGATTAAACAAAAAAAAACCACAGTAAAGAAATTCACACCTCACTTCTAAATGATCCCCAACCCATTTTCACCTGTGTATGTGTTCTTTTTCCAATGCACATGTCAGTGAGATTTTATTAAGAATGACACCCAAAGAAAGCCTGTTTCAAAGTTGTATCTTTAAGTATTAAAAACAACAATAGCAATTTCAGATACRGAAGTGTCTCCTTGTGTTCTCTTTTCAGCAGTGGTTGACTTAGAGGACTAGTCACAATCAAGAAACACTGATTAGRTAAAAGATATGAAAGGAAAAGCAACCTACTAAATCCAATTGCTACTCATTAAAAATGTTCTAAAAGATTGCTTTAATGCTGACAAATAACTCACTCTAAAGAAATAACAAGCAAATCTCAGATTTTTCACTAACAGATGTGTGAAATTCCTCAGATAAACTATACATTAAAAACTGTTTATTCATAGAGRGCTTCACATTTCACAGAAGCTGATTCATTTCAGTAATGCCTGATAAGGTTTTTTATATCAATTGGTATAAACTTAGAATTTCTATCTTGATAAAATAATGAACCAAATCAATATGGGGAAGGGATGGGAAATAACATACAGCTTGCTCATGTATACACTTTGTAGAAAAAAAAAAAAAAAATGGAATGGAGGTAATAATAGGAAACTGCAATCTCTTTGCTCATCCACCACATTAATTCCCTATTAAGCTGACCCAGAATGGTTTCTTTGCCCAGACAAATTAGTGCCAAGCRAAGTTAGCAAAATATGTTATCATCTCTGTACTGCAGGTTCACATATGGAAAAAGGCAGAATATTCTGTCCAGAAAATCCTCAGGAAACATGAACCTCTAATGCTCTCCTCTGTTTGCCAAATATACATAGGTCCTGGTTTTCCAAAAAGGTAAATTCATCCACTCATTCTGGAGTACAGACCATTAATACCATTATCTTTTCTGAGCCATCAGGAGCTGTGCTTTTCAAGTATTCACTCATCTGTTGCATAAAACATTAAATTTCATCTTCACAGATTTGCTTACCTTGTCTGGAATCCTGAGACTGCACTGAAGAATCAATTACATGTCCTAGTAATTGGGAGAGCTTCCTTTTTTCACTTGACACTGCAGAAATACTTTTGTAAAAATACATATTGCATTACTCATTTATAAGTTTAAATATTGATATTACAGATTCATTACAAAAGAATACCCAGGTATCTATTATTTCTTTAACTGTCATCCAAATTCTGATTTGTTTGGAAAAAAGATTGTTCTTGATTTTTAAAACTGAATTATCCAATTTTTTCCTTCCAAAACATTCTTTTTTCTAATTTCATATGAATAAAGCATGTAAAAGTTTACGCAGTGCATAAGTGGCAGGGGTTAAGTTTCCTGACATTTGCAGTAAAATCACAGCTTTTATCTTGAATAATTGTACTTATACAGAAGTTCTGCACCTATACAGAAAACACCAGTTGCAATTTAAAAAAAAAAAAAAGGATTCCTAAGTTTTGATATTGTAAAATGTAAACTAGAATATCCTGACAGCTGATCACTCCTTCTGAATCGGGGTCTCAGTCAGTTAAGAAACCTGAGACTCCAGGTCTCAGTCAGCTAAGAAACCAAACTAAGGTTTCTCCATGTCAGTTCCTTCTTGCTTGCTATCATTGTTGTATGCTTGCACTAGCAAGTGTATTTAACCAGCCCRTGTTAAAATACCAGTGCATTTTAAATAATTGAGCATCCACAACACCCTGGTAGGTTAATATGGCAGATAGTATATGATTACTGCTTCACTTGCTTACATAGACATGACAATCTTTTTTCTCTTATGACATTTGCTAGAGCACTTACAAGATCCTCATGCATAAATCTGTACAACAGGTATTGCATAACACCTGAATATTTTTATAATCCAATTATGAAAAACCTGTTGGTTTCTTAGCCTTCTATAGTTTTTAAAATTGAAACCCATTCCTACTTCAATCCAAACTCTAATCAAGATGCTTTAAARGACCTCAACAACAAGTGTCTCAAAAATGACTAAACACTGCCATCCTGTGGAAAACCCTACACTCACAGGAATTTATAACCACTCTTAAACCAGCTCTACTGTTTTTTGCATGTCTCATCCTTTGCATAAAAGCTTTATCATTTACCCAGGAATCTGAGATGCATTAGACTGGAAGTATGAATTATTAAAATCCAAACAGTGGGAGGATGTAGAATGATTCCATGGAGCCACAGCATTTCCTGTCTTCAGACAGCAGCCCTGGGAGATGGTGCAAGGATCTCCTGTGGCATTGGGGTCAGAGTAAGTGAATCCGCAGGGAAGTGTGCTGGGTGTCCCAGCAGATGTGGCCCCACTGGGCTACAGAGTATCACACCATGGGGCTGAGAGTAGTAAATAGATATGAAAATATGAATAAGGAAGAGGAGCTGGAGATCTTCCTATGAGCTTGGGAGAGACCAAATTCATGTCTCATCTATTTTGTAGCTGTGGTGGGGAACATGGTTCTGATCCAAAGTCAGGTGGGGAGCCTGGCAACTGGCTTTGCCTAGAGATGAAAAATGTTTTAATTTCCACTGGAACAAGACGTGGAGGACAAGTACAGCCAGTGCTGAAAGCAAGTGGAGGGAGACCACCAGGCTACTGACAAGCGTCTTCAGAAAGCATTGCTCACCATGCTTGCTGCCCCTTCTCACAGGAGCAATATCACTCACACTTCATCAGACCATCTCCCGTGGCCCTTTGCCTCTCTGCTATGCAAGAAGGTCCTATCCCCATCACTTCTTGCCCAAATCCCCCCTTCACAATCTGCTGACCTCAATCCTCCTTCCTTCTCATGAGTGGCTCTTTGGTTACTTCCAGGCACACTCGTGAACCTATGGTGCTCATAAGGGATTTAAACCCCACTCTCCCTAGACCAAAGGTTAAAAATCTGTACATGTACATCTCTCTTAAGGAAGAGAAAATCCTAYGCCATCTTGCTGCCATTTAAAGGAACTACAGAGGGTTCCTCTGTTACATTAGGAATAGATGGAGGTTCAAGAGATGGATTATCAGTCCTTTCAGGTATTCCTATGAATTGTCAGCTCAAACACTGCTCTGAAGCCCAACCTGAAAGGCACGTCTTAAGATGTGTGTTAGTCTAAAAATGCTACAGCAGAGGAAGGATGACAGAAATCTAATGAAACACAGTTCCTGTACTAAAGATTAGTGTTCTCACAAAGGCTGAATAAAATAAAAAAAAAAAAAAATCCTTAAAGGGACACTCTCATATTCTTAAAAGATGTATTCACACACAGAGCAAATATTCAAGCATAAATGGAAAATTTTCATTCTATTGTTTCTACTTAAGGATTGGTATTTCTGAGCTTGGATAGCATTAAAGAGAGCAGTTTCATTTCTGGTTACAGCCTATTACTTTTAACATGTGCTTGTGCATTTTGTAATGGTATTGCCACTGGTTTTCTAACATCCACACCCCTGCATTTCGGCTTAGTTACAACCACACAGCTCCTCTTTAAAACAAACTTTTAAATTCCACATTAGAATACKACTTCATTTCCTTCAGAATATATTCTCTAATCCTTATAAATACCATGACTRCAATCTAAACCTTATTTTCAACTTTGAATAACATTTTTTCCTGTGGGATATTTGATTTTTGATATTTGATATACTGAATTCCAATTATGCCTTGTAAAATTCAAAAAGATACATCCATAAAAGTCTAAAACTTCCCTTCTACACATTCAGTTCATATTCTGGCTTCAAACAGTGCCTTGGGTACTTGATCTCTGCCCTAAGTTAGAGCATTTCAGTAAAATTCAGAGACACTTTATACGAGAAAGTATTTAGAAGTACAGAGGTAGTAGGGATGTATCTTCAAGTCAGAACTTTACTGAAACTGATACTTTGTTTTTTGAAGGAAAAAAATAATCTGCAATTTAAATGATTCTATATTACAAATATACTATGCAAATATACTATACTACTTAGCAAAGGACATTGCAAGCTTTTTTCTCTTTTCACTGATCTTGTGGAATGTATTACTGTAGGAAAAGATGAGGAAATCTCAYGTTGCTTCACATGTGATGAAAGAAAAGAATAAATGCTAGACTGATGGCCTTTCTGAGATGATCTTTAATGGAAATTTCAAGGTACACACAAGACCTTGGTGGCAACAGCACCCTTTTCATTGTACATGACATTATGGTGTTCTGAATTTTATGTGCATATATGAAGGCTTTTTATATTCTCCTTTGATGCATTTTGACAAGTTCCTTTATGAGATTCTATTCTGTTTATGCACAAATWGTCTGCACTACAGACAAATACTTAATAATTTTGACCTTTACAGATCTAATGATTCACTAAATACTCTTAAACCCACAAATAATGAAGTAGGACTGCAGTATTAATATAAAGTTCTGTTMAACTTCCAAACCCATGATAGTTTTACACAGGGTTTTCTTGCACGTAAGTACTTTATAGMATTGTAACTATAATATCTAGCTTACTTAAGATACATAGTAGCATATATACACACATTTATAGTTGTGCTACATTTTGTGCATAAAAGCAAAATAATAACACTTTTAAGTTGTCACACAGGAGTTCAATAATCTTGTTAACCTAAAACACATTTAGTCACTCTAAAAATAAAGGTTATGGATATTATACACAACCTCCTCTTCATTCCTCTTTACTTCTATTGTGTGGGCAAATCAACCTACCTGATTTAGAGCAGGTAGGAGCCTATTTARCCCACTGTAAATAAACATATTCTGCTGAGTCTGTCTAGAATGAAAAATCCCATGTGTAATTATTTTTAAAACATCCCTTCTTGCTCTGCCTCTTGGCAAGTGCAAGTGTCAGCCTATTAATAGTATTTTGCATTGAACAGCAATCATCTGACAGTTGTCTAGATGAGAGATTTGGGGTTTAATTTGATAGATCAATACTACATAATTTTCCACCCTTGACCATAAATCTCTGAGTTATGTATCCTTTGATAGTTTTAAAGTTAGTCTCAAAAGAGATTGACAGACAGCTTCTGTTCTGAATCAAGTATTAGAGTGAAAATCTCCTTCCGACTGGGAGATTTCTGTAATTCTCTCAATGTATTCTACAGTAGTCTCACTTCTATCACTTATTCTGTACATAAACAGTAAACTAGTGCTTACAGGAATGTTAAAGTAACAGCTCTGCATTTAATGTCACAATTAGCTCAACAGTTGTGAATCAACTCAGACTCCATTATCATTCATTCTGTTGAACAAGAAGACAACCCTATTTCCATTACTGTCAGTAGTTCATTTTTTGTAAGTCTCCCTACACAGCTTCAAGAAACATTGCCAAGAGAGCCACAATCCTCTTGAAACTCAGCTTTTATCACGGCACTAATGAAAACAATTCAAGAGCTTTGGCTAAGGAGAGGTAGTATGTGTTACTACAATACTTACAAAGTTCCAAACTCTATGTCATTATTAATGAATTCTTTTAACATGCTTGTATCCACCATGGGATTTTCCAAGGCTCCATGGACATCTTGTCCTAAAGTTAAATGCAAAAAAAAAGACAGAAATTCAGATGGAATTGTCAATGTTTCAGAATAAATAAGGCTGCCTGTGCTCTGATACAAAGGAAAACCGAATCAGCCCTGTCTCATATGCAACAAATGGGTTATGCTTCYGGTTAGTCACTCTGGGGAAAAGGATGATGAGAAATGCAGAGTAATTAAGGATGTGCAGGGGCACCACAGATGACAGTGCAGCACAGGGCAAACACCACTGAATGCATGGCATTAAGGCTTCAGTGAATTATTACAGCAGCAGGATGAAGGACCCCAGTCTGCAACTGAGAAAAAGGGTTTTGAAGATAATTTCCAACTCTTTTACACTAAGGTCAAAACAGTTTGTGGAGTTTTACACAGATCATTTTTTTACACAGATCCACTTTCTGCATTAGTACTCACAAGTGCTGCAAGTGAGTTTCTGAAACACTCCATTTTAAAATCCACCGAGTTAAAATAAAGCCCAAATAAAGCTTTAGAAATGTTTGATTGGTGGCTTCCTTTTATTCTGCCTGAAGAAAACAGCCCACTAACATGTTAAATGTATTAGCAAATAGAAAGGTTGAGTACTTTGTCCTTTGTTGCTTAGTAACTGAAGGCTATAAACAGATTTTATGATTATAAAGTTTCCGGAATTCATGAAAACTTTCACAGAAAGTCAACGGGAGCTCTCTAAAAAACCCAGCCAAGCAGCCCTATTCTRGAGGCTCCCCACCTCTCCAGCAAGCCTTCCACAAATACAGGTGTGGCCAGTCAGAATGCAAACAAGATAAGGACCTTGAAATTCCTGCTTGAGCTGCAAGTGCCTCTGTCCCAGTTCACACATGCTAAAATGGACCAGCCCACACAAGCAGAGCTGCAAGGGTCAGCCCTAGTGTCTGACACCAGCCTCGTCCCCTCAGCTCTGTGTGGCGTCTGAGAGCACAAAAGGTTCATTGCTGCCATTGAGCCCAGGAGGAGTCATGACCTTTGGTGCATTTGCTGTATGCCTTGCATAATACATCTTCCATTATTTTTTCTGATGTCTTTGATACTGCTCCTTCTTGCTCCAGTGTTTAGAAAGGACGTAACTGCAAGCAGAATCTAAAGAACTCCCGCAAGAACTCCCTCATATGTCTGTCTTAATACCTAAATTCACATTGCTAATAAACATTTCCCAAATTGCTTTGTGATCATAGATAATTCTAAGTATTGTTTATTTGTCGGTGCGGCATGCCTAATTTTGACTGCCTTTTACCTGCGGGATAGCAACTTGCAGGTGTCCTACTGATAGATCCTTGCATCTCATTATGTTGATATTGTATACAAATCTATCTCATGCACACTAGAGAACAGATTCAATAGATGCAGCTCACCAACTTATCTCAGCAAAATTGGAACACACAAAGTCTGGAAGCGGCAGTAGATCACTTTGCAAAATCAGCTAGAGAGTATAAAAGAGCCTGGCTTCCCTTAGCAGCCTTCCTCAAACCTGTTGGATTCTCACCTTTTTCTTCATGTCTGAACGTAGGGTACCCCTACCCTGAATTACAAACCTTTCTCCTACTGATGTAGTCCACAGGAAAATTATTCAATCACCTTCTTCTTCTTTTACCCCCCCTGTTCTTCCTGTTGAAATTACCTAACCCTCATGCAGAATGRTATAATTTTGTAACTAATGAGGCCAGAGGTCAAATACAAAGTGTTTTTCCTGTACCACACAACCAAGAATCCTTCAGTTTGATTACGATTTGACAGGCTCTTTTGAATCAAAGAATACACCTATAAATCAAACACAGACAAGGCTTTTCCAATGGACATTCCACAGCCCAGAGATCAGCTCTGTCGCTAAGTGATGACAAGAGAAATATCTATCATTCCTTCTTAATCTGTCCACTTTGCATGAAYAGTTAAATTGGAAGGAGGAGAATGAAAGCATAAGCAGTACTGGGAGAGGAAGGAAGCACACCGGGAAAAAGACAGGCCACCACTAATAAATGTTTGTAATGCAGGTGCACAGTGGAGATTGTACATTTTGCTGCCCTGTAGAACTTTGTTAATGTACTTTCCRGATCAGTGGCATCATGTGCTTGCATTGGCATCTGTTGCAGCAGAGGACTTCTTGGATCATATGCAAATTTATTTTAAATTGTAACACCATTTCACAGTTATTTGATCACAGTAAGCACTTAACAGATATGGGCAATATGCAAGCCAGTCACTTACCTGGTTGTTAGGTGCTTTTAAGAGCAGAGAACTGCACGCTTGTGGCAGGACAAGCCCTTCTGAGAGGCCTCTGTGAACGCAGCTTCCTGCGCAGAACTACATGCCTGGCTAAGAGCTGCTGGAGGACATGTGGAGTCAGCAGCCCCAGTCATCAGCTTGTGCTTGGGGATCTCTGCTTGCAGCTCACAGTTCAGGCTGCTCTGGAAGACTCTACACTGAGTGACACATTCAACTCCAGGTCATTGTGGACTACCAGCTACCCAACAAAGAGAAGAAGGTGAAAGGCCAAGGCCGTGTCAGGCAGGGTGTTCATATTTGCAGAACAGACACTGCAGTCACAGGCTGCATAAGACTATATTTTTCTCATTTCTTCATAAGCATGATACTTGTGCTGTTTGGTCCCCAAGTCTAAAAGCTGTCAGTTCTGCCACTGTCTTCGGTTTCCCTGTCCATTCTCACCTAGCCTGTCCCTAATATCCAGCCACAGGCCCCCAAGGAGTAATATAAACTCCAGCCTCCTAATTTGGCAGTTACTCCTGGGCAGATATCCCCTTCTTTTCTCCAGGCATGAGTCACTCATCACTTGGCTCCACAGCCCGAAGAACCTATCTTGATCAATTTTCTCAACACTTTCAGGTAGCCTTATACATATATATACATGTATATATATATATATCTGCATTTAAATCAGCTGCCTCCTTTTCAGGGGTATCTAAATGCAATGTGAAGGATGGGGAACAGAGAAATAATATTGACTAAAAATAGATACTAAACTGATCATTTCCTGACATTAGAAGAGGATGCCAGGAAGTTCTCAGCCAAGTCCAGCTACCTGTGGTTAAGATCAGTGGTAAAACATCAGCTACTCTACACAGGAAACAATCTTTATATACAGCTCAAGGTGCAAAAATGGCACAGAGAACAGTCAGTGTTCATTAACACCTGCTTGCTGAATCAACAAATTCATAACGTTTGCTACAAAGCCTTGCAACTCGAGGGATGTGTTTCTGCTTGAGAATTAGTAAGTGAATTCCATCTGAAGACACCTTACCATGAAGTAGGTATGTTTTTAACAAAAACACTTCAGCACTTWAGGAGCTCCATTATATAGGCTCCGTGGAAAGTCCAGCTGACTTATTGACTTAAGTATTTCTTATGGGGTTTATAGCCCCTTCTGTCATGCTAAAGGATTTCAAGGACTGGTTGCCATTTAAATTGTCACAGAAGTACAGCTCATATTGACTGGATCAGACCTAGTGTCATTGACAGAAGCTGCAGAGGTACAGAGTTAAGGACAAGCCAACTGTAGCTGGAGTGTTACAGCCAGCCAAGATTGGTTATTCAACTTCAGTAAGACCTATAACTGCAAACGGTAAGGAGCAAGTCTTTGTTAAGTTTGACATTTTTTTCCTGAAGTCACCTCAGAGGTTTAAGTGGTTTGTATTTTAAGGGCATGTTTGTTCAGTGGCTTCATTTTTTAACTACAAACTAATCCATATTCCATGTTACCCATGCAGGAGCATGAGTATACAGAGAGGTGGTAACTCCAATAAGGAATATTTCTTTAGATCACAGACAGCACAGAGAAAACACATGCATTTTCAGACACCTCAAAGTASCTTACAACAAAAGAGAAGGCTGAGTTCAGCAGTGTAGGTGATGGAAGGCTGGCCTTCCATCAAGTCTCTCAACCCACTGATAACATCAGCAAGAACAGATTGTTCTGCCACACACAAGCATTACGATTTTATCARTTACAATCAAGCCATTTCAGAAGAATGTTAGTGGAAAGAAAACCCTCTTTACCTGACATGCTAAAACTGAGAAGTGAGATCTCTARCCACAGGAAAATCACTAAGATTTCAGAAGTGTTAAACTGCAATGAGTCCTTAGTCACTTCAGTTTTTCTTCAAGGCAATTATCTCACCAATACTGCAGGCTCTGCTGGGTCAACCTTCCCTTTGGTATTCTRGCCAGAGCCCAAAGGCACTGCAGCACATCTATACTATTTGTAGTATTTCATTCTGGTATTGCCTTCTGTAATAATTTACTGTAAATACAACATTGGGTTTCAGGGAACTTTTTCTTCCTTCTTTCTTCCTYAATTATCCCCAAACAATTTCTGGTCTTGCTTCCATCAAAAATTGTTCAGGCTTCTCTTGAAACTACATTTACCTTTAAAGAACTGCAGCAAGGCCTCATTTTCTCCCATGACATCCATGAAAAGCCAGTAGAAGTGCTTTGCTTTCCTACTGCTTGAAGAGCTCCCACGGAGACAAATGCACTCTCTTCCAGACGATTATGAACATGCCAAGGAACACATCACATCTTTGTCAGAGGTTTCAATGATTTTGTCCCAGCTGATTTAATTCCTCCACAACTAGAGCCAGGGTTATACTCAGGGTTTATGTAAAGGACTTGAACTACATGTAGAGAAYCTAACATTGATTTTAAGGGAAAATTAAAGTGACGAGTGTTCTATCTGGTCAGTAAGTCTAATGCTCTTGTTTAAAGGACCTTTGGTCCCAGTATTAACAGTATTTAGACATACACAAAAAATGCAACAATAAAAATACTTGTTTTGCCTTTGTACCTCCACACAGGTCATGTAATTAAAACTAGTGATGCAAGCAATAGTAATGAGAAATGCAGGAGCAAACCATCACTGATAGGGAAATAGAACTTCTTATGATGGTATTATTATGAACAAAACTAAATTACACATTAACCTGTTTGTCTAAGATAACACTGGAAAACATATGGGAAATCAGAACATGGAACAATGCTCTTTTAAGGCTAGCAACAAACTCCACTTTCTTTTAGTTCATCTTTAAACACTGAAAACTGCCCGTTCCGTAACCACTAAGCAAACATGAGAAAAAAATTCAAATACTGAATATTGAAAATGTATTCAATGTTTTGAGCAGACATCTAAAAAAAGGCATTTGGTTATGAACAAAAGTTCCAGTGAAGTCTGGAATTAGGATATTTTCAGCAGTAATTATATGCACCAGACAAGTAACTGTTGTCCAATTTTCATAGTGACAGAGGCTTCTCATGATAAACAGCTCATATCAAAAATATAGAACAGAATTTTGGAGTAGGGACAAGAAGACAGAAGCCAGTCAGCATTTACAAGACGTTGATGTAATTGAGCCAGTCATTACTACTGGTATGTACTATATGGGGTACATCTTTGTCATCCCTAATACAAGAAAATCACCTCCCCGTAACACATTTCAGATACCACCATGTGTAGAAAGGACCCTTTGTGCTGCTTAAATGAGCAACAGGATTTTGTTGTAAAACACATTAAATCAGAATAGCAAGTAGTTATAGTAGCTAGAGTAGCTACCATTTACCTACTGTTAGCTAATCATGGAAACCATTCTATTTCATTATCTAAACTACAGATTGACAAGCATTTAGGAAGCATTTATGAGCCTAACATAAAGCACTAATACCAATAAACACAGCTTGTTTTCTAAGAAAGAGTAAAACCAGACTTCCTTAGCATTACTTAAAGAATAAACAATCCTTTAACAATTGCTGGTAGAATTACTCCAGGTTTCTACAACAGCAAGTAGTACCCAGTGAGGGGAGATTGGTAAACGTATTCCCTCAATACTAAAATAGCTCAGGTTGGACACACATACTCCATTACTCAGAATATTTAGGTTCAGTTGGTTGTTTTTAACTTAACATTGAAGCGCCCAGTCAAAGCCAACACTTGCAAAGCATTTTCAGGCATATATAAGCAACACAAGTATGGTATTAAATTTCACAACTCATTCTATTTAATTTCATGAAAATGGAAGACACTGAAGTAAGACRATGATGAATAGTGTTTGTCTTGTTCAGCATCAAAGAGATCTACATCCACTGAGATGCTTCTTGTTAAAAACACAACTATATAAACTCTCCTAATGTTTGTCAGTTTACCTGCCAATGCTTTAATCTTATGTGCAACTGCTAAATGGCTGTCAGGACTAAGATCTAATGTTTTTCCAAAAAGTCTGTACATACTCTTAATTATCCTCCTTGTAACCTCATCAACTGTSTGCTTTCAGCTGAGAAAACACACAGGAAAAAAATGACCACTTGAAGTTCAAGCGCCAAAGTAACACTTCCAACAGAAGCAGCATCTTTCTTAAGAGCCCATCATGTTTCTGAACAAGTTTTCTCACACACACAAATTGTAACACTATATGGAAATTATCATCAGCATGTTAAAGAATCATATAATGGAAATTTCCGAGTTTCAAGAACAGTGGGGAAAATTACGTGTAAAACATTGAAAACTGTAAATCCCAGAAGGGAGAAAAACCCACAAAATTTAAAGGAGTAAAAAAATTCTAATGAAAGAAAATTAAGAGGGAAAGAGAAAGGTTTTAGCAGTCATACAGAGGTCAGAACAGATTTCTAACCAAAGAGCAAACAAAGTAATTTTATTGTTACTTCACATTTGAGAAGCACCCTTCTTTAAAGAGAATATACTCAGGTTTATTGTGATGTGACTCTTCACTGTATGTGCTTCTCTTCATACACACGTATTTTTAAAAATTAGAAGCATAGGAATGTAGCACTTCAAACAATTCAAAGTCCTCCCAGCTGTCTGTTAACTGTGCTGGCAAAAATGCACAGAGAGCTACATACATGTACCTAAACACTACAATGAAGAAAATACCAGGCATTTATTTGCTCTTCATAAAATCACATCTGTTTTTTGGAGTGTCTTATAGRGAAGATTCACATCATTCTGCATCACAAAGAACTGAAGACAGAAACTGTTTCAGATTAACACTTTAATCAGAACTTTTGTTTTTAAATGTAAATTACAATCACTAATACACCTGCAAGTGCTTACCACATTTGTTCAACTAAGTATTTTATGTATGCAAATACAGCATAGGTCAATTTAAAACAATCACAGTACTTCTTAGTGCCATCTGCAAAAGGAGAAAGATCTTGGACCCACGTTGTGGAAATAAATATCAAGTGACAAGGAAAGATTCAGCAATTTTAGTTATGTATATTCTATGAAGTTCATGCATGCGCAAGAGTAAAAAGATTTAGAGCTCTTCCTTGTAATAGCCAAGTTTTGCTAGCGACATCTCTCGTCTCAGCTGCATAACTTCCCAGAACATCTGATCCACTAAAAAAGACAGAAACATTATTAAATATAATGAATTCACATTTTATTTCAACTGATGTATTCAGGTTGCCTTACTCTACATGCGTTTAGGGAAACTTCATAACAAACATCTGGTAAAACCAGCATTAATATATGTAAGGGCTAGTTGTGCTTGGTTATGAGAAAATTTGTTCAAGTATATATTCTAAAAATTCTACATGAGAATCCTATTAAAAAATTCCTCGGATTTAATTTTTTTTTTTAATGCAGAGCAGAACAATATCGGTACTTCTTGTCAGCTTCAATTAAATGCAGTTTCTTATTTCAACTTCCCTGCCCCTTGACTCGATTTCTATAAAACTACATGATTACCAAAAGAAAAAGATAAAGTTTGTTAAATAAATGTTTCACCAAAGAATCTATAATTTTGTTTTAGTTTTTCCATTTATAATCTTTCTTACTCCTTTTTTTTCCTACAGTAATCTGTCAGCAACAGTAAATTGGGTAGGAAAGACCCTTTTTTCTTATTTCATGTGTATTTTCCTAAACATGATTAGCCCAGTGCATACCTTAAGCTTCTACACATCACAGCAATACAAATCAAAATCATGGAGTGTATAATTATTCAAGACAAAATTTCCATGCAGTCAAGATCCTGATGTAGAACGTCTACAAATATAATTAACCTGTACAACAAGTACAAGGTCTTCCCTACCATATTTCAAAAAACACTTTTGTAAAAGTGACCTGTCTTAAAAATTACATGGTGCATTAGTAGAAATGCATGCAGCACACTATRCAGACAATCATGATGAATGCCTACATTCTTGTGAAGGTATTGTTGAAAGCCTTACATAAAGCCACAGATGTAAATTCTATGTTTTAGTGGTAAAGATGACAATTGAGCTGAAACAATAAACTCAGGGTTTTTTACAAACCTCTTGTGAAAAACAGATAAATCTGATAATGCCGAAAATATTTCTTTATGTAATGTAAAAAGTCCATTAAATTAACTTTTTTAATCTCAATAGGAAAGTAAACCCTTTTTAGTTTAAACTTCACAGGTCCTTTTGGTCAAAACCTTGTAAATATAAATCATAATAAAACTTAAATAACACATTTTCAAGATTTCAGTGATGCTAGTAAATCAGTAAAAATCACCACCATCTGAAGGTTTTATTAAACATCACTTAGTGTATGAAATAGCTGAATTTCTGGTGAATTCCATGACCCTCTGACATTGAAAATTAACGGCATCATTTTTTGTAAGGAACAGTCTATCATCTCAGGAGTACCTCAGGCTAGAGAAGGAAACAAAATATTTGGGTATAGCTAAAATCCGGAGATCTTGAAATTTGAAATATCAGAAAGAGATGACTATAGGTGAGATAGCAAAGTGGGGCTAATTTAAGYCAAATTATTGATGAAGCAAATCCACAGAGACTTGAAAACCTGAATAATGAAATGCACAGACATCCATAAACATTACAATGCTGTTGTACTTTACTTTCAAAAATGCAATTGAACTAAAAAAAATTACATTTTCACAGTGAAAGCAAATRTTTTAATTTATTATTGACACAGGGCTGACACTTTCTCCACTATGTGTGCTCAGTATATCTGGGAGACTAAGTGACATGACCTGTTTCAATGGACAGAAAGCTGTCTGGCAATATGCTTTGACCTGGAGAGGAAATACAATTAAATTAACTGTGTGCAGTTTAAACACAATCAAATTATCTTCCTTTTCTTTTATAGTGATAAATAGGTAAAATGGTCTTGAAAATTAAGGCAAAACCATGACTCCAATATGTAATATATTTTTTAATTCCAGAATTAARTAACTAGGTGTACATTTCATGTGTTTTCACAAATATCTTTCTTATGGACATATTGACACCACATAGCACAGTTAAGTAAATTTCTGAATTATTGTGCAGACAGAGTTTAAATACACAGTTGCTGGATATGATATTCTGACATGACAAAGCAACAGGGCAACAAAGTTAGGGAACCCTCCCCAGGGTACAGCCTGAAGCTGGCAGTAAAAAACACATTTCTCCTTTGGGGTGAAGAGTGATCAAGCCTTACTTTTGTAACCATAGCCCTAATCAAGATTTTGCCATGCTACTGCAATGATCTCATTTCTCAGATGGACTCAGATGAATGATTGCAGGTTTTCTGTATATATAAAAGGTTATCWGTTTACTTTTTGCAATTTAACCCAAAATATTGTCTTTCTTGCCAGTTCTCCCTGAAAAAATAATCTGACAAGAATGGTTGTCTCAACTGTCACTACACAAAATAAGAAGACATGCCAAACCCCCAAGCTAAAGCAAAAATGGCCCAGATCAAACCAAACTGAAGTTTTTTGCTTCAAAATACCGCCATATTCTGTGACAGAGATTTGATTTTTGATTGCTGTGTGGAAAAACTGTGACTTAAGCCCCTAGTTAGATTTTTTTTTTACATTTCTTACTGAATAAGAGGTTTTTAAATGGACTAAAAATCAATACATTTTAATTTGTTGTTTTAAAAAATAACTTTATTGGAGAGTGAAATATCACCACATTCTCAAAATCACAACAGTGACTATGAACTGATGACTTTCCTGTAATGTCAGGTCACRGTTACTGTGCACAGATAGCCACTTTTAGGCACAGGCACTATGTAAATGTCTCTTTCTGTACATCAAACACTACTTTCTTACTCACCATCTTGCTGCTTCAACAGTCCTTGCTGGATATATCGAATATATGTAAAGAAGTTACACACAGAAGTGATCTGAATTCATATAAAAATAATGGTGGTTAATACAAGTKTGTATAAAGATATGGAAAAAATAGCTAAATAACTACTACATGAAATTAAACCACAGCAAATCTACTTACCCTGTAACGACAGAAAGGAGAAATGTAGTAATAACTGCTTGAATCTCCTAATTTGATTCTATGCTTGCATGACTTACTTTGTCCACTTAGAGCACATTTCCTACAAATATAAAGGTCACATGATTCAATAAACAAATCTGACACTAATGTTTAAACACATGTGTTTATGGTGTTAATGTAACTGTTTCACATCGGCACAGATAGATGAATCTCTACCTTTATTTTACAAACTGCAATTATTACATTATGTCGTCACTTAGTTGCACAAGACCTAATTTAATTTCAGTGGTGGTGATTATGATGCTTTTTTTAAATTCTAAAACTTTCTACAGCTCTGGGAACGCACTTCCTTACTAATTTAAATTGGTTTGACAACTTCGGCACAATGGGATTTCTTTAATTAACTTTTGATGTGTCAAATAAACATTCTTTAAATTACCAGTAGCTGCCAGCATTTAAACAGATTTTTTAGAAGTTCCACTTGATACTGTATTTCATCATTAAAAAAATATAAGCCCCACAGAACCTCTGCAGCTTCTCTTAGATGCATTTTAAATCCAGCTTCGCATTTATGCCCAAATTGAAATAATATTTTACATTCAGAGTATAAAATCTTTAGGGACAAAGGAAAATGAGCTGTCTGGCAATAATTCTTTCTATTACCATTACAAAAAGTGATAGYAAAATAATCAAATTTACTTCTGGTGCATTGCAACTACGCAGTATTCAGGAAAGGTCATCAGTCACCACAAATTGKTCCCCCAAAAAAACTCAATTTAGGAAAAGAATGAATTTTTTTTTAAATGAGAAGGATTTGATGTATTTGGAATGTCTGTATTACAGCATCTCAGATGAATTGGGTTGTCATGGCAACCCCTGTTTCATTAATTTTAAAAGCTGCTCTCCCACTTCTACCTCATGAAATTAGGRAGTCTAAGAACAAGCTGCCTTTCAAAAGTGAAACAAAAATTACTAAGCTTCTGTGGTTCTGAACAGTGGCTCATAGGCTCTTTTAAATTGCCTGCAGCTGGTTCACAGAACCCTGTAAATCAGAAGAAAATTGATGCGTGTATACAATTTTCCACAGCAATTTCTGAGGACTGAGAGCACTTCACTGATACAAGAAATCCTATAGTAGCTGAAGCAAACTGGATCACAATTTCAGCTTAGCTTTTGTCAGAAGACAAACTTTCAGTGGTAGGAAAATGAAACCCTTTTTTCCTTCTGGTTACATAATTGCCTCCTCTATGTTGTCTTCCATCACACCAGTTAAATGTTGAGGCTTCCTGTTGGCGACTCAGTTCCATGCAGCTCCATACTTCGTTCCCCAAGGGGAAAATTATTTGAATCTTCTGGGGAAACCGAGCTGTCTTTTGTTATGGCAGCACTTTCTACACACTGTCACAGGCCCCATTCAGTAACTTCTGTATATTAAGAACCTATCTCTACTGTCACAGCTCTGTCCTCCACTCCTCACTATGCTCTTGGGCTATTACCCACTATTTTATGCATCTATTCCCCCACAYAAATGTACAACAAAACGACTTCTTTAAAAACATTACTCTAGCTTTTTTTATTGTTTATTTTCAGTTTGTCTATATTATGTTACCCATGTAAGATGGTTTTAAATTAAAAAGTGTTTTGCACTGTATAAAAATTAAAACCTGAAACTGCTACACTGGTTCAGTGAAAACTGGAACACCTGCTCCCCATTCAATGCCAATATATAAGGCAAAGCACAACCACTGTCAAATTACACTTAAATACTGCATATTCCTTACCTATTACTTATCTACAAGCAGCACCACAGAAGTTTTTGTTGATACAGAAGAGCTGGAAAAGGGAGAAAAGAATTTGCCTGACCTTCTGATACACCTAAAATAACTAAATTACAACTTGTGCACTGTCATCTCAAAAAGTTAATCTTTATCTTGCCAAATATTTAATGATTTTTTTAAGTTCTGATTTAAAAGTTATCCCACACTGGAGAAAACAGGTTAAAAATCTCCAGAAATTTCTGAATGATGCAATTGAGTCTTCTGTCTGGGCAAGTGTTTCATCACATCAAGAGGTAGGGAAGTTGCTCGAACCACAAGATCCATTTGTCAACTGTTCTTTAATGACACATGACCACTACACCAGTAGCTTCTGGCTATGCAGATTCTCTACTGCATTCATGGAACACAGCACACAGTGGCAGATCTTGGATAGGAATCCACTACCCCTTCGGTAGCTCCATTACTGGTGCGGGCCCCTCTGATGACAGGCTGCTACAGCTCAAAAAGTGTGTGTTCTAGTGACTGGAGGAAGCTGAAGAATATTTGAATGCTTAAACTTTGTAGGCTAGAAAGGATAAAAGACTAAGTGATAAAACACAATTTTCATTTTATACAGCTTCTTTAAAGAGAAAATAAAGAATTTTGAAATGTGTTAATTSTAGTTTCTCTTCCACTCAACAGAGGAAAAACAAGGACTAAAAAGCAGTGGCAATGAGAAAGAAAAAAGAAATCTTAGAGTCAGATGAAAACATTYTGATGGAAGTTTGTAATGTAATTGTAAAACTAAGCTTTGTCAAATCAAGTATTACAGAGTAAATTGTCAACTTTTCCAAAATATCTTCAACAGAAAGGTCTAGTCTGTCAAAATTTGGAAGACTCCAGATTAATCTCCAGACTGACCCTGCTTTCTTACTCTGACATACACTAAAACATCCTACAAATCCTTTTTCTTCTCCACATCATCAAAGCCTCAGGCATGTCCCTCCCACCTCACTTCAATGGCTGTATCAGTACCTGACAACAGGTCTTGCTTCACATTCCTATAGGACCATTCCAGAATTTCTAAAATAATCTTCCTGTCACACAAGCATACTTCCTACATTAGGCTCAAACTCTCATTCATCTTCATTCTCACTTACATTCCTCCTTCTCAGATTCAGAGGATTAACTCCCTATATTTTTCTAATACTTCAGCTACCTTTGTCAGCATCCTACTCGTATCCTAAATTTTTTATGCCCCAAGTACTCCAGATAACAGAAACCCAGCCTGTACTATTTCAACACCTATTTCTTTCATGATGCTTTCCAGCTGAGAGCCCCTAGTTCAAAAGCAAATGTTTTAAGTATCAGGACAGTTTTCTCCAAAGCGGTGAATGTTACTACACTTTTGAATGCATCAAAAGTGAAGCAAATAGCTCTCCCCAAAATGTCAGGTTTGTTCTATATTAGTTGGTTACTTTCCCATGAATTTTGTAACAACAATCTTGAAGTCTTAGATTTTAGGCAATTTAATTTAAGATACACAAATTTGACTGAGGTAATCAGCTGGTAGCAGTTTTCTCAAGCCAAGAGATCTCAAGTGAATCAAGATTATCCCCCTGTGTTAGCTCAACATACTTTGGTCCCCCACATTCAACTGCAGAAGCTTTCACAAATCGAACAGGTTGCAAGCCAACAGGTTCAATGCTCAGAGTGTTGTTTTCAACAGCTTCCAGAACAGCTGAGGCCAACTRCAAGAGAAATTTAGAAAGCAGTTAAAAACAGCTCTGCTTCATCCATCCTCAAAGCAGTGACATATTTCTTCTTCTGGAAAGTTAAGAATACATTTTAAAAAATCAACCAAACAAATAAAAATTGTATTACAAATAAGATTTCACTTTAATCATGAGCAAGATGTTCCATTTTCAGGCTCCTGCTCAAAATCTGCCCTCCAAATAACCCTGCCTTCCCTGAGACAAGCTAGCCTTCTTTACAGCCAGGAATGTAGTCAAACGTGTTTAAAATGCTAACTGTATTTTCAGCCATTCCTCTTATACCCAAATAACACACATATTTGTACATGCTGTACATGCTGTGTTCTTATCAGACTGAATATAGTACAAACTTAATTTTAAAAAATTGGTCCAATRTTATTGTGCTCTATGAAAAATACAGAATCATGCTGCATGCATCGTTACCTTGAATAAAACAAGTGCACTTGTTATGTCACTGATTTTCAACTAAAGATAGCTCTAGCAACATGTTCAAACAAGACTGAACAATATATAGAAAAGCCAGTTGCAACTTTAAAACACTAGTTKACTTGAAGCACAACTTAGCTCACGTTTTTTATGCTCACTCTTTATACACATCACATTATAATCACATGACACTGGAAATGTGACCATTTTACTTGATTGAACTGAACAGGTGCCCAAGATCACTGTTTCAAGTAACAGCCATTGCTTCGTTTTTAAAAAGGTGCTATTTATGTTAGTAAATAATTTGGTGTCAAGGTTCCTTCCTACCAAGTAACAAAAATATTTTTTCTATTGTACTTCAATTATTTTAAAACCAGAATGTTACTATTTAAGTAGTTCATATGAAATACTCTCTGACATCTCCCAAAAGCAAAAYACTACACATAGACACAAGAGGCTACTGAGAGCAAATGTAATACTTCAACCATTCAGATAACTCCATTTGCAATTATTCAAGAACACAATACGTGTGTAATTTATATTTTGGTTTAGCTGCACACAAATCTATCAATAGCCAAGTGAAAACAGAACTTGCTCACTACACAGGGCATCTGGAAACAATAAATGGTGTAACCAACAAGTGCTAGAAGCCTCACTCTTCCCTTAAGAGGCAGTACAAATCTACAGTAATTATATTAGCACTGAATAACAAAATCCAAAATTAAGTTGCTGCAAAAGACAACAGGATGGCCTACTTACATATATTGCAGAAGCTATTTAATTCCCATAGTAACCAAGTAAATTTTTTTGTGGGAGAGGTTCATATCATGCTGTACACCAACCACAACCAACTGGTGTACAATTAACTGAAAGATTGGCAGTGCTTATGGCCAGCAAGTGACAATAATGGGAAAAGAACATAATACCTCCTGAAAACAACAGATAAACATTATGAGGAAAATGTAGGATTTTCTATGTGAGGTGTTTAATTTTATTGGGGAAGAGTATCAATGCTTAGGGCTTCAAAATTTCTAATTTTACTGAAGATCTAAGAACACACTCCCTTTTCACTACTGACTGAAACTACTGCAGCTCAGCCTGTAAATGCTGCTTAAGAACAAAAACTAAGTAAAGCAGTTTGATCTGTAATCAGTTTCATGTTATTCCCAGGACAGGAATGTATGCGAGAATGTGCAAATAACACAAGGAAAAATGTCTCATAATTTGATCCCTCTAAAATAATATTTACAAACTGCCCCTGTTGAATCTTAAATCCCAAAGTCTAATTCTTGTAACTCAAACCTSCCTTCAAGAAAAGGCCCATAGCAGACTGTGCTTGCAGTCTGCTTTGACTGACATGAAGGAAAACCAGGCCACAAAATTTAAATATATTGGTCTCTACTGCCCCYTATACAAACAAGAGACAGAACTCAACTTCTGCACTGTATTTGAAGTATCAGGAAGAAAACTTCCATCCATTCCTACAAACATCAGATTCTGACAGATAGGAGTAACATTTGAAGAAGCAGACCTAAAAAGACTATATCTGAAAGAACACARAGGGAACAGAATAGTGAAGAAAAAAATCGTCATTTCAATACTCCAGACCAAACTTTAGCACTTCAATATAAATTGCTACACATTAATGAAACAAAAATGGTTAAACTTCATATTGAAAACAATATAATAGCTTTTTGGCTCCATGTGACATATTTAAGAAGAAGATGTCAGTGACCACATTTAGACCATTTCCATTACCTCACTTTTGGAGAAGGTTAAGCATGGAAAAATATCTTCCCGATAAATTTTGTCCAAGAAAGGACATGTTCTGTCCATAGTAGGCTCATCCTTCCAAGATCTGAATTCATTGTACAGAGATAAGTCAGCCTAGAAGATAAAAATATTCTCATATTTTAGTAATGTAATTATCACACTAGTGTCTATCATTTGCAAATATCCACAGATAAATAATAAGCATGAAAATGCTTTCTATGGTGACATGAAAGAATGCTATCATGGTTCAGCTATTAATACCTTCTTAAATCCACTTTCCTAAGACTGTAAATTCAAGCAAATCAAAATATATGACTTTTCAATACACGAGATAATGCATCTATGGGTTACCACTATACCAGGGACAAACTAATTACCTTTCCCCCATTTCCTAAATTTACAGGATAGCTTTGAAAATCTTAGGAAGAGCCAGAAAACAGTTTCCATCTTGATGCATCYTCAATACAGTATTTTAGTCCATCTCCATTTAAGTAAGTTACAGAAATGCAGAGAAATTCAAAGAGAACAACTGCAATCCTGGACATTTCATACATTCAYACTGCATCTGACTCTAACATGCTGCTATCCAAACCCTAAAAGAAAAGAGACTAACACACTAAATACACTAACAAAAAAACCCAGGAAGTCAATGTACAACTGAATTAAAAGCACACTGTTATTTTTCATTTTTCATCTTTATGCCCAAACTCTCTCCTACACCTCCCTACAACAGAAAGATGAGGATGTTCACTGGGAATGATTTCTGAGGCTGCTCCCCCCACAACTCCTCTAGTCAAAGAGGAAATGTTAAAATTAACTATTAAATCATGCCAGGACTGTGATGTGTGTTAGGAAAAGATAACTTCATCAGCTTTAAAAACACCTTGTTTTGTCATATCCATGCTGAGATCAGTTAGCAGTAGGATGGCACCTACCAATTGCGGTGTTCCAAAGATGGGTAGTAGGGTGCTAGTAAAAATCTATTTGCATTATGGGGCAGCCTGTCCCATGGACTTGCTATCCACTAACAGAGCACACTGAGGTGCTCCCAGAACACATCACCTGCTTTAGGGTGACCAGATCTCATGCAAGATCTCATTGATGGGCTCCAGCCCTGCTGCAAGACACAAACCAAGCAGACAGGGGGTGAGTGCCTCTGACACATGCTCCTAAGCCAACATACCAAACTAATGCCAATCCCAAAGGGATATGCAATACCATTCTGCTCCCAAGTGCAACACCATCTACAGACTGGTTCTGACATTCTGCTTCAGCACCTTTTCCCCTCCAACTGTTTATATCCCTTGCTTGAACTACAGCAGACCTATACTCCTAAAACAATAGAAAGTACATACACTGCAGGAGAAAGATAAGCCAGGATGTGAATTAAAATTTTTGTACAATTAAAATCAAATAATACAGATAAAAAAATGAAATGGGGAAATACCATATACTAAAAAATTAATTTTTAATCCTATTTAAAAGATCAGTATGCTATTTTGAACCAGCCTCAGTGTTTTTTTCARGCATTACCACTTCTTTTGAGTTCTCAGCACTTTGCCATTCTTTTACATATATGCTTTGGGGAGTTCTTTGATCACTTTCAGGGGCTTTTGGTTAAACTTTATTCTTTTTCTTTTCTTTTTTTTTTCGTTGAAAAGTAACCTACAAAAATTAGACTGGAAAATCTGTTTTTCATTAGAGCTATTAGCATTACACTCAGGTATACTCAAGAAAAACTAACTTGATTAAGCTAATCTGTAAGTGTTCTGGTTGCTGAATCACCAACTTCATTGTACCAATGAAATTCAATAGGCGTAACTTGCTCCCTAAAGAAACATTCCCCATAATTTAAAACCCATCTCAGATCTGGCTTTAAAATTAATACAATCAAGAGATACCAGAAGGAAAAACATCCATTTTTTATTTGTACTCTAAAATTCTAAAACTTAAAATGCATTTCTTGTTAACTTAGTTATTTTCTAGATTTATTCAATTTTACCTAAACCTACAGTTTATAAAGAAGCTGCCTCAAAAAAAAATTCTTCACTGACCATAGCTTGATGTTCTTCCTTTTCTATCTACAATGTGTGATACATGTCTATCTCCTCCCTGCCTTTACTTATGCTTTCACTAGATCCCAGTTTTGATTACCTGAAATTAAATACAGTCAAATGTAATAACTCTAGTTAGATTTTTTTATGCTTTCATTACATAAATATACAAAATACCTGAGCTCTTTGAACAACACTGATGCATCTATCAGCATTTCTGGTRAGGAGATGTTACCTGTCTGCTTAATATCCAGAAGGCTATTGAGCTTATTTCAATCTTCTTTTTAATACATAAATTCATTAGACATGTTAGAGGTTATCACCAGATGCTAGGATATACTTGTCTGGGATGTTGGCACCTTTCTAGCTCCACTGCCATTAGGCTGGACAGCCAGCCACTCTTGGCTCTCTCTACAATCCACAAAGAAATCTGCAAGCTGACCTGTATCTACACCCGGCTCGATTCCAAAAGGCAGATTCTCCAAAAGGGTCCGAAGCTATTGGTTCAGGGCCAATAACAGCCCTGAGCAAGTGTATTCTTGAGCCCCTTTTGAAGTCAAGTCACTCAAAATCAGAAGAATGAGATTCAAAGAGTAACAACTCAATGGCAAGAACAACTAGCAAGAAGGGGACAGAACTATGGTTTCAGATCCAAGCTCCCACAAACGCAAAAAAAATTTACCTCAGACCAAYTATAAATAAGATGAGTAAACAACAYTGGATAACAGGAGCAGCTGGGAAGGCACGCCTCCCGGGCTCAAAACAATGTCCTAGCCACCATGCCARTGGCAGTCTTGCTTTTTTTCACCCCATTCTACATTCCATTAAATACTTCTGCTCAGAAGAGAAATAAAAATACTCAAGTCCCAGAGGCTGGAAAACCCATCATGTGTATCTTAGTGACTCCCTAGGCTGTCACTGGAAGAAGTCACCAGTTTGAGTAGCCTTGAGCAGACTTGAAGTGTCTCCTTATGCAGCCAACAAAAAGGAGACCAAACTAAAGAAAACTGTCARGCAAACTGGTTCTTCGGCAGCATTTCCTTCACAATCACCATCTCCAACTGAGGCAAAACAGGTTTCTCCTACCGCTCACTGCTGCCAGCACTTAATTTTAGAGTCATGACCTCGGTGTGACATTTACAAAGTAACCAGATTTCTCCCCTTTCTCCTGAACTTTTCTGAGGGCAACCAGGATTCTGTTTTAGTAAAGGAAATAWCCTGGATACCACTGAAAGTAGGCAAGTAGGTTGTAAATCATCTGATTTTTTTTGAGTATGGGACACAAACTGAAAGACACCTTAATTTTCTAGGTTTATAGTAAACTGGTGTTTTGTACAAATGCAGTTAATGATGACTGGCAAAATGAAGTATAAAAATGGCCACCCTGACTGACATTACAGATCCAGTTGGCATATTACCCCTCTGACAATAGCCAGCTGTCACAGAGCTCGCTGATGAGACATCTGAGAGGAAAAACAGTGATGTGTATTAATTTACAGCCTCAAAACTTCTAGCAGTCTGTAGCTAAAGAAGCTTTTTAAGCCAAATATCACCTCCTATATACCTTGAGAGGCCTTCCTTTTGTTACTTTGCATGACTTTATTTTAAACAAATTTTTAATCTTGCTTCCTCATGATAATGAGTAAAGTTTCATTATGTATTGACTAAAAATCATTTTCCTTTTAGCTTCCAGTTTTCATTAATTCATTAATGACTGTTCATCATTCATCTTCCCCATGTCACCTGAGATTGCAGAGATTTTTCTTCTACCTCAAGTATCTCTCAACACAGAAATCTTTCCATTAGGTTTGACCAACAATGTCACATTTTCTGATATTTTCTCAATGTCCTTTTGAGATTAATACATAACAGTTGCACRTATAGAAACACACATTTACTACACCTTTATACAACAGTATAATACTTTTTCTTTTGTTATTTATTCCTTTTCTAAGAACACTGAAGTCTCTGTAGGTCTTTGACCATCACTGAAAACTGAGATGGGGTTTTCAGATAATGATCAACAAGGACACTTATCTTTTTTTTCCAGCACAATGTAGCTCTTTCCAAGTTCACAACTGCAAGCTTGCTAGTCGCATTTTTTTCCTAGATGCCTCATTTCTCATTTACTGACTTTTGAATTTCATCTGCTGTTATACTAACCACCCAGTAAAATAAGTTCCTTCTCAACTCTTTGGTCCATTTTTGCTAGTACCATTCCAAGGACTGAAGCACCAACCTCTTACATCATTATTTCCCCATTTCCAGTTACATGAGCGGATTCAGAAAAAAAGGAAACAAACCAGCCAAAAAAACAAACATACAAAAAAACCCCAACCCCCACAAACCAAAAAACCACACAAGCCCCAGGATTCCAGTGACTTTTCACCTGTTCTCTAATAAATTACTRATTTCATCTTTTCCCTAGCCTCTTTCACCAACTACTGATCTCTAAAATGATTCATCCTCTTTACTATGACAGTCTATACAATGCTAATGAAAGTTAATGAACTTCCATGTTATGGAGTTCATGAAAAAGCAACCAGGACTTAGCATTCAGTTATATTGTTTGGTTTACTGTTTGGGGTTTTTTAATATTCGTGTGCAATTCCAATATTTGAAATCTTATCTCATCTTCCCATAATGACTTAAAGGTAAATAAATCAGAAATATCACCACCTCTTGGTATGTAAGAAAAGTTCTTTCATTAACAAAAAATACCTCTAAGACAGTAAGCATTAAATGAAGATTTAGTATATATACTATATTTATTGTGTGTAAAACGAAACAATAGAGACAATTTATCAGCAAAAAAGAGAATAATCCTTGTACATCACCTCTTTACAGTCTTTTACAATTGGCTGCATCATGGTAAGGTCCTGGTGACTGCCACCCATAGCACTGCTTGTACTCTTGTTTCTTGCATGGCCTTTCTTAAAAGGAGTTTTTCCACCAGACTGGAACTCCTTAGTTGGAGATGTCGGTGAAGTAGACAGTACTAATGTTTTCAATGCTGCTACTTCAGCCTGGAGGACATCAATCTTCATGGGGCAGGAGGAAATTAAGTAATGAACAAACAAAAATATGTTGGTTTATAAATATGTTAAATCAATTAACAACATCTCTATCTACCTTGGTTCAAATCAAAACTTGCATCTTCCAACAGTACTAACACACATGCAATTGCATATTGTAGTAACATTGGCTTCCCATGCACCTTGCTGGCTCACATGACACTGAAACACCATGTCCATGCGTGTTCACTAAGAATATGTCAAGCAATTCAAAGCAACTGAGTATATAGTCTAAAAATGTATACAGGTAATGCTCTATCTACATCTTTAAGATTCACACTTCAAATTTAAAACCACGTGAAAAGATGAAGCAAACAATCGAGGAAAAAACTCACCTTTCCTTGTGCTTCTTTTAATTGTTTTTCTGCTGCAGCTTGTTTGACATTTGCTTCTTTAACCATTTTGTGTGCTTCCTATAAAAAATGTTTAGCTAGTGTAAATCCTTTACACAAAATTACAAAAAAATCCAACAACTAATGACACACTTTTGCTTGATGAAGACTACTTATGAACATTGTGCAATAGTCTTTAATTAAATAGCTACACTAAAAAAAAAMCCCTAAAAATCTATCATTTGGTTTCATCATTGGCCCTCTAAGGTTCTCCTTGGTCTTGAGTCCAGATTCAGAAATTCAGCAACTTCACCTAACCCCCTCCAGCAGGAACAATACCTGTCATGAACACCAGGCTCCAGTCACGCTTCAGTGGCTGACAAGTTCCTTGACCCCCAAGAGAAAGACTCAACCAGTAGCAACAAAAGCAACACAGGCAGAGTAGCACATTCAAAAGAACTTCTCCCTTCTCGTAGCCAGAATAACCAGTTTTAGACAACTGTAAATTTCTGCATGAAGGAACCAGTCAAACAACTAAGAAGTCTAAATTCTTGCCATCAATAAAACAGACAAAATAACAACATAAAAACAGTTCATTGATTAATAAACATTTCTTAAGTAGAATTGAAAAAAGCCCTAAAAAACACGTAAAGAAACAAGGCTAAGCCAGCAAAGAAGGAAGCATAAAAGGACTGAGGGTTTTTCAAATATCCGTTTACCTCATACCTCTAAGCCTTTTTTCTGTATAATGTATTTGTTTAGGCTCTGATCCAGCAACTTGCATCTACAATCAAACTACTGTTCACACATGATACTTACTGCAGGCAACAAAAATCAAAATATCAGACCAACCAACCAAATTACTTGGGATAGGATCCTTTTCATATCTGTAAAGCGCCTAGCATATCTGGACACTATATAAATAAAACAAAAAAGTTTGTACATCATCATACCAAAAGATCTGGCTCCCACTGGCATACAACACAGCTGTATAATATGGGATTGTAAAATTCTCATAAGTAACAAGACACATGCAGGAATGGGAACATACACATTTATACAATGTGTACAAATACATTTAACATTGACCATGCAGTTTCTGCTTAGTGATGCACCTTTGAAAGCAAAGCATGTTATTGTACTATTATAGTGTAAYAATGTAATACATGCACCCAGCTGGGCACAACAAGTCTCAATCCTCCACTGGGATGCAATAATATAAGCCCTAGCATATCCATTTATATGGCTGCTGAAATTAGTGGGATTCAAAATTAAAAAGGAATTCAAGGATTGCAGATCCCAGTGCAAAAAATCAAYAAACCTCACCACTGTGTCTTGTTAGAGCCTCTTAGTGAAATCAAATCACATAAGAAAACTTAAATAACATGCCTGTAACAGTCTGGACAACTCMAACTACTATTACTAATAAACCATACTTCAAACATGTATTTAACTAACTGACACATTGTTCTAAGCAACACAATGTCATAAATATAAAATTTCACTAATAATTTTATTTTTGTTCCTCCACGGTTAAAATACATACCGACGTTTTGCTCCCCCCAGCATACACGAGTATCTATGCTGAAAAATACCCTTCCACTCTTCTATTTTTTTACACAAAGGAACTGCTTAATATTTTAAGTAGCCTTGCCCCACCAGGATGAAAACTCAAGAGCAGTTTGTAATTTGATTTTTGAATGTCAGTATTTTCAAATATTTAATAGCACCTTTATACAACATTATAGGTTTAAACACTGCTTCTAAAACATACCTAATGTTGTATCTTCATGCATACACTAAAAGCGTATACTTACGATTTAGCAAGCATACAAATTATCTATGSATTATGAAATTTATTCTGACAGCTAAAGATACCACAATGTAGGCCCAAAGCATTACTACATAAATTCCTAAGACTAAATGTGAACTGAGCCTGCTTCAAGTTATGGATTTAGCATTTTTTTTCTGTGTAATACAAACTCAAATGCAAAGGTCCCACATAAAGTTCAGGCTTCTCAATTGGTAACCAGGTTTCACCCTGGTGCATCACTCACCACGTAAGTTTCTTTTGAAGTCTGTGTGTRTAGCATGCTGCCAGACTCAAAATTCAGAAGCTGAACGGATGGTTAAGTTATGTACTTACTACCATTCATTGGAAACACGTTATTTTTTTTATTTAGTCACCATGGCAACCYCAAATTTAGCTCTTATCTAGATAGCCTTGTTGTCAGACAGAGAAGCTGTCTCAAAATAGTTATGCCAAAAAATAAGCTTTCTGATATATTTTCCTTATTTTCTTCATTTTGTGTCTAGGCAGATTGACAAGCTCAATAAGGTGTCTTGTACCTAAGCAAAAAAGTCTGCATTCTGCTCTTAAGCCTCTACTTCAACACACCCAAGTCTTCAGAACACAAATCCCTTTATATGCTTATTGCAGAAAAATTCAGCATACAATATACTGGTTCTAAATAAAACATCTGGCTCAGCTTCCCTTAAGCATATCACATCGAAGACTCCAACAAACCTCAAACAGACTAGCTGTAAGTTCTTCCAATTCCTGTCCAAGTTGATCTCGCACTTTAGAAAGCCTTTCACATTCTTCATCTTTTAACTTCAGCTCCTATGGAAAATTGAAAGTTATTTATTCTGACTTAGAGTAGTAATTTGGCCTTTTAAAGCTAACACCACAAGGGGCGGGGGGAGGGGGCAAAATTTAAAAGCAAATAATCAGAGGAGTATAAAACCTTTGCTAAACAAAGCCTTTCAAAATAGTCATCTTAACACTAAAAACAATTAAAATCATGTTATGCATAATGCATACATAGCTGTTTCTTCCTTCTGTACAGAATTATACCAGGCCAATATAATGTATACCTAAGCTAAACACCAACATTTCCAAAGTACTCTGAAGTTAAAAAAAAAAAAAAGCTTTTTCCTGAAAGTATAAAAGGTTGTATTCTGTRTTCACATAAAATATAGATCAAATTAATTATTGAGGCAGACAGAACAGCAGTTTGTCCATCCATTTCTTAAAATACGCTTAAAGTAATCCTTTTAAAAAATTTAAAAATAAATTTWAAAAAATCAAAAATCAAAAAGCACTGTCTCAGGACAATCTGCAATTCTAAACAAATCTTAAAACATATTTTACTACAAATCCTGTCTTCCAAATATCTCCTTCCAATGTTTCCAAAATCACACTTAATTTATATTCTTGCCCTTGTTTATGCAGATACATAAATAAAATTAAAGCAACTCAATGAAATTCAAAATATTAATGTGTACACCACTAAAATTTGAGTGGTCTGACCATAACCATTTTTACAGTAAGATTTTAACACAGATTTGGCAGTATAAGAATTATATGTGCCCAATTTCATCTGTACTAAGGATAAAGTTAACTTGCAGAGAAGTAGAAAAAGGCTAACAAAAATTTTGAAAGAAAGTTCTTCTCCCTTCCACACCTATTAAACCCTGGAATCTCTTGCAGAAAGAGAAGGATGTAGAGATAAAGTAAAAGAAAGAAAAGTAGTCAATTCTGACCTTTCAAACTTTTTTTTGGCCCTAGCTCCCTTCTCATTCCCATCTATCTCCTCTTTTTCCTCTTCCCCCTGACAAGAAAGATATTGCAGTGCCATTATTCCTGAAATGGAWAACCCAAGACCGTCACTAGTAGGTTAAAGACTTCAGATACAATCTAGCAATGATTGGCTCTGAAAACCTCCACCAGCCAGCAAAAAAAAAAAAGCTGCCCTCAGAAAACTGTGAGAGGCCAGTTACAAGAGTCATTAAAAAAAGGCCCAAAAGCTTCCCTTGTTGTTTCTAGAAGGTGGTTAGTATTTCTTTCAAAGTCTTCATGACTGAAGTAATGCTGCATGCAACAATGTGGGAAACTGCCATCTTGCCTAGCTGCATGGTAGTATTAGGCCTTGCTCTCAATTTCTGCAGTGAAACTGGCAACAGACTTTTCTGTAAGGTGAAAGGTCCTGTCTGACTTCAGCTCCTAGACTGGAAAAGAGTTTGGGTACTCTTCCAGAATAATTTAGTACCAAATGCATTATTCCACTCTTTCTTTATTTYGTTTTACCTCTGAACATTTTGATTTCCTTTTCATCTAGTTTGTCATTTGGATTATTTTATTTTCCACGTGTACCTATTTTATAAGGTACCACTTAAATTATGGGGATTTTCCCAAACATGGTATTTCTCAAATTCTATTGAAATCTTACTTGCTAGCTACTATTCAGCACTCAGTGACCTATCTCTCTCTCAAAAATAAAAAAAAAAAAAGGTAGCAGGAAAATAGCTACAGATGAAGGCATGAGAAGGACAAAGGAATACAAAAAACAACACCAAAAAAAACAAAAAAGGAAAAAAGAAGAGGTTAAAAAGAGAAAGGGAGAAACAAAATTTAATTATTTTGTGTTGGTTTAAAGTATTTCCCATATAAAGTATGGTTCTTAACCAGGAAATGGAAGATTCTGATGCAAAATGCTAAAAGCTCAAAAAAAATTGAGATTTCCTATAAATGCAGAGGAMACACAAACATTTTGTTTGGTTTACTTCCCTGATTTGTAAGGACATTGCTACATACACATCAATATGTCTTAAACGGAGGTTATACAATATTCAGGTTAAGAGTTTTCCAGCTAACAATGGAAGTAAAACTACCCCAGGTTCACCTACCACTACTACTACACTATTTACACAAAAAAGTTACATTTTGCTTGCAACTGGAAAGATTGGGAGAGACTAGATTAAAATTTAGGCAGATGAGTAAAGCTTCTAAATGAAAACAAGGACAACACCAGGCAATCTACCATGCATGTCTGCTTAGCTGGATTTGTCAAACACTGGGCAAGTTTCCATGACATGATTCAGGAGAAGCATAATATAAGACATTATTTTCATCAAGCAAATTTAAGCTCAGGTTTTTTAGGAATGGCAGAAATAAAGAGTGCCCAAAGCAAAAAGCTCAACAGTTATTAGCAATATTACTAATGCCTGTGTCTTAAAGGAATTACTGAAGACTTCCCCCAACCATACCCAATAAAGAAGCAGAAAAGACAACTGTGTGTGCTAGACTGGCCATTCATGCTGCAGTCCTTCACACATTACAGTTCTGAAAAAGCAACTACATGAAGATGAGGAATTATTATAAAGCACACTACAAACACACTTACAGTAGGCAAGAAAACAAAATTAACTTGCATGGGAGAAAAAATCTTACAGTTAAAAAACTCTGTATCTAAGAGTCATATCACTGTTTATTTCTCTTTGATCTTCTCAGACTACAGGGTGGGTCTTTAAAAAGAACCAGGGAGATAAGAAATGCAAATTACTGCTTCAAAACCATTCACACATTACATTCTAGAAAGAAATCATTCTACATCTAACTCAGCAATTTAACCAAGTCAGAACTAGATGCATAATACCAAGGAAAGAACATTTTCTATACGTATCACCTAATCTCTGCTGAATTCTCAAGCTGTCAAAAAAGTATTTGTATTAGACACATTCCTATTTGACTGGCCTTCACTCAGCACAAAAGTTAAACAAGCTACATAAAAATCAGTCCCTTGTAACTAGATTCAGAAGGATGTGACAGAAGATCTAGAATATCTTTTCAAAGTCAGCAGCATTTCACAAATTATTGCATTAACTTATGGTGTGGGTGAAGATGCTTCTATTTTGCTTTCATGGAGTCTTCTACTCGCCTGAGAAAATTTCTCTGCCTACAATATACTGTCACAGCATAAGAGGTGTGGAAACTTTCATCAAACACAGCTAGGAACTGCTAAAACACTTTCAGAGAGCCATCTTTAACATGAACTGCAGAATCTTTCACAAGACTCACAGTATCAGTGGGGGGAAAATCAATTTTATTTTACTAGGAAAAATACAATTCAGATTTTACTACAGAAAGTCAAACCGTTTTACTTGTTACTAACAAGAGTACAGATCTTACTCTAAAGACCATTGGAATCATAGAAACCAAACATGATTTTACCATTGCCTCTGGTAGACTGCTCTTTCCTCATCAAAATGGGGTAAAAGATCAATCTTTTTGACAAGGAAATAACTTTGGGCCGAATCACACAAAAATTCAAGGAAAACATGACTATGAACTGCTAAAGCTCAGAAACTACAGGTAAGCTATCCAAAATACATGCAGTATGCTGGTTAACTAAGATGAAAAGCAAAAGGTATTCCTTCACAAGGACTCCACTCAATTTGTGTATCAAGAAATACCGTATTTCGAAATACTATCACTATTCTCTCAGAGGCTGTCTACATGTGGTTGACCTACCTTCAATAACCACAGTGACAGAGCTCAATCCAAACATGRCAGAGAAAATACAAGTGCATAGAGACGCGAGGATGAAAACCCCAGGGYATTACAATCACTAAGTTTTTTAAGACCTTCTCAATTTCCCTGATGCTACTTTAGATTAGGGAAACAAGAAGGGTTCAGATGAAATWAGCAAACACTACTCATCTCCACCTATAGAACACAGCCAGGAATTAAGACCTCCATGAAAAAACAAGCAAAAAATAATCTGAATGGTCTCAAAGACTGAAAGAAATCTGTCATTTTAACTGAGGGAGCATTTTAAGGTAGTAATATGTAAAATCTTATACGTCTCATSAGTACAGAGTTCAGCACTGCTGTTAACCTCTGACGCAACCTTTCTCCCAATCTTATGACATAATTTGATGCTGCAAGTGATCTGGATTGAAAGAGAAAGTATATTTTTCTCTCATCAAGAAAAAAACTTTAAAAAATACTTTAACTATTTTGTCGGCAATGTTGTTCATTTTGAGAATCTGCAGCTTTAAGAAATACAAGGCATACACAAAGGAGGAAAAAAAAATACTACTTATTCTATTATTGAATAATTTATTAAGAAACCATACTGAAATGTCTAACAATTTCATGTCATACATATATTATCTAATATAAAAAACCTGACAGCACATTAAGAAAAAAGTTGAACYCCTAGCAAAGACATGAAAAAAAATAGTGGATCCCTAAGCTTTAAAATTTTCATTTCCTTTCCAGTTCTCTTTCTGATCACAACTGCAACAAATTCAAATCAATCTTTAATGTATAGTACAAAAGCACACAGTTTGGGTAGGAAATTTGGAACAAATGCAAAATGCAAAACAGCAAATTTGCATTTACTTCGTTCACTCTCTGTAGCCTGTAAACTTTCCAGGCTCAATGAGTTCACAAAATTCAAGTGGAAATTGTAATTCTCATTTTTCTCACTAGTAAACAGCATGAAGAATTACAGACAATTTAAAGCCATTACACAAAAGACAACCAGTTATACAAAGACACTATCTATTCATTCATCCCTACAGGGTTTGAACTGAGTACTCATGAACAAAAATGAATATGCTTGGAAACAAAAGTTTAAAATTGCATGATATATGAGTATCATAGAGATGATACAGCACTATGTCAACAACTAGGAGTTTTGGAAGAAAGATACCAGACATGAATTAGGAGTAGAAAAAAACAGTCTTCATGCAGGAAGAAGAAGCAAGTGGGTATAATGGAAGGAACAGGGCTTATTGTTGTATAGTCTGTACAGACAACTGCAGTGACTAAGCAATTCTGAAACAGAGACAGTTTAGAAAGACAAGCAAAGGAAGTTACCCCTCCAGTCTTACACTGGTAAGAATCACATGAGCAGTTGAGAATTAGCAAGAACTTTGACATCAACAGTCTCAAGTGCTCAACTGCTTTTGTTAAGACCACACAAAGAGTTTGAAAACATATAACACACAATTAAGTATGTCCTAGCAACCTTCATGCCTTTTCCTTAAGAACAGCCTTAACAAATTTCAGAGGGAAACAGGAAACATTTCAATCTTTAAGAGACAAATTGGTATGTACTGGAATAAGATTTTTAGATCATTCAAAGCTAACAGCAGCAGATCCAAGTTATGGTTTTCAAGTACATGAGCTGTAATTTGGTATACTGTAAAGAGCTTTTCTAAAGCTTAAATATTAATTTGTTCTTACTTTCTAGGGTTCYGAGTTTAAGTGCCAGGATGATATATTCACATGCAAGGTCCTCAAGTTTAGCTCAGGTTAATGTTTTCTTAGTAGTAAAAAGTTATGCAAACACACACATTAGCAAAGGAAACCACTGCTCAGCAATTAAACAACAGACAGGAAAAGCAAGGTCTGAAACCATAGTTAAGATTCACTATGACAGTAATGATGACTGCATCCAACAACATGAGGTAACAAACAGAGGGTAGCAAGTTCAAACACAAGATGAGATTAAGCCTAAGCAACAATGGAATCACCTAGAGGACAAGAAAGGGCACAGATACAAATAGCACAAAATGTACTCAAAAACTTAAGCACAGAGAAATGTTAAAATGATAAATAATGACTTTGCATATTTATATAGCACCATCCATCCAAACAAGACAAAGCGCTTTACAAATATTAATGAATTGAGACACAGTGTCTTCAAAGGTATCCATATTCAATTTGAAGTGTGGCGTAACAGTAGTCTAAAGAACATCAGAGACATTTTTACTGCTTCTTTCCTATGCAGGTATTCCCCTATGAAACACGSCTGTTTCTAAAGCATTTATATATTCTATGCTACATTTTAAACTCTAGAGGAAAGAAGACTAAAAAGGTATATAATCCATATACCCAAGTCTATAAATACTTATTCAGTAAAAACAGAATGGCAGAAAATTACTCCTATTCTCAAAAGTCAGAATGAAGGAAAGCCTACATTTCAAAAAGAGTGTGTGTATAACTACATATTTCAGCAAAAGCTTCCATGGTTAAGTGGCAGCAGCAGCACTGGGAAAGAAAAACATTATAAAAGAATAATTCTAAGGCATCAGCACTGCATTTAGAAAATTTTACATTAAATAACTCCATCACAATAAATCTATAAGAAATGAGTAAACTTCAAGTGCACCTTCTGGTCCATCTATCATTCTGCAATATTAGAAACACTCTGAACAGAGAAAAAGAGGGAGGAAACACAATGAACCTTACCCTCTGAGCTTTTGCAAGTTCTTCTTTCAATCGTTCATAGCCCTTTTCTCTTACTTCCAGTACAGATGGGCTCCGTAAGTGAGATAAACTGTCTGTACTCAACCCAAAAATATCTTCATTTCCTTCAGCAACATCTGCTACTGTAGCGCCCTGCAAAAACTCTCTCTCTACGTTATTGCTCTCCTTCCTGGCATTACTGTGATTGAATGACCCACTCTGGGGTCCAGAGGTAGAACAAAGTACTGCGTCGGTAACATTGATGCTGTAAAGAAAGCAATATATTTTTATTTATATAATACATTAAGAATAAATATTTTAAAAATGGCAGTAGTGATGTTGAATATATAATCATGTATATTTAATATTACAACATTGTAAATAATATTAAAATTGTATTTTTAAAGAGGCAAACAGTTTATACGCAACAAATATGAACAATTTAAATAAGAAGACACATGGAATTACCTGACACCTGATACTTCTCCACAATTSAGTTGTCTGGGAGACGAATAAACAGGTTGTGTAGGAAGGTCAGACACATTTAATGCATTGGGTTGGATTGGTGTGGAGGACACAACAGAAGGATGTGGTCGGTAGATTACACTGGGTGAGGTAGTTTGTTCCTGAGTCCCTGGCTCATTTACTCCAAGAAGATCTGGTGTAGTAGGTGAAGCGAGGTTCACTTCATGAAAGCCTTCCAAGGGGTCACTGGCCATAATAAAAGCCTCATTATATGAATCCCTAAATTGTCAGAAAGCAAACAGGAAATACTTAAATATATCTGACAGCTATTTGAATTTTAAAAAACACTCAAATATGTTCAGAATATTTCATGATAGAATGGAAACCATGAACTGTTCTTGCAAAAGTACGAATTTCAACCACCAAAAATGTTTTTCCCATCCACTGCACTGATGAATCCAGAAGATCTAACAGCAAATTCTGCATCTAAACGGGATGATACAATGAAGAACATACCATACCTCATATAACAATGTAATTTTTAAAATAATCTATAGCCGTTTCAAATCAAAACAAATGTATTTCATTCAAGAAAGAGGGGCAGACCTGGAATCAGTGAAGAAAAGAAATTTCTAAACCTAAAACTTCTACTTTTCATCTCCATGCAGCAAACAATCTAGCACAAAAATCAATGAACTTTTAAATAAATTACAGTCCATATTGGTTTTGATTAAATTACTCATCTGATTTTTAACAATTCACTGAAATGACAGACTCAGCCAATAAGATTTCTCATGAAGCATGATTATGTATATTTAGCACATCACATGATTAAGTGAACATKACAATTGTGAATAAGTATACCAAAAACATTAGAGGTAAAAAGAGGTACCATGAATTGACAATTTAAGTGACATTCCTTCAATTTATTTTTAACTACATATGCTTTTCATAAGAACAGAGAACAAGTACAACACATGATTTCTACGAGTCCTATTTTCTAGCAGTTTATCAGAGCTGACAAAAATCTTAGCATAATTCAAAACAGTAAGTTGGAAGTAGTATGGAGAAATTTGTGAAGGAATTACTTAGCACTGATTATTTACAAAAACAAACAAACAAAAAAACCAACCCTTTTCCACATTATATAAATACAGAAGAGAGAAAATGCTCAAAAAAGATACTTCATGTGCAAAAATAAAAAAGAAACTGTACATCCAAACAAAATAATACATTGCATTTTACAGAGAAAGTTTTTTGGATCTTACACTTGAAAAGATAAGGCAGGGAGAAGATCTAGAAAGATGACAGTCATAACCGTGAAAAGAAGATGCCATCAACTTACATGTACACACAGAAGATGTAAGAATGGAATCCCAAAATTACGTATTAAGTAATGTTTCAGTTAAATTAAGACTTTCTGGTCACCTTAAACTAAAAGAACACTATTCAAAACTGCTCTGCATCTCAAGGATTGCAGTGTGTATATACCAGTGCGAAACAAGGACCACGGCATGTGGAAGAAATTCAATTCTTCAGACAGCAAGAGTATGTTAATTTTTCTCTGMCTTTCTTAATTGCTCTCAAAAAAAAATCAGTCCCCTCTAAGAAACTGCCCAGACTCAGGGGGCAAAAAGGACCTTACAGAATAAAGAAACCCGAAACAAAAATGTTCCTTTTTTCTGCAGAAAATTTTATGCAGAAATTTGTTTTATTTTGGACTATCAAGAGCATTTGCATAAATATGATTTACATAGAAAAACACTGGCTCAGTTTTGTGCTTTGAAGTCTTCCTATTATAAAAGAGATGAAAACTCATTTTTGAGTTTAAGTAACTTTGGCAAATATTACTATTTATTTTCCCTATAGTTCTTCTTAACTGTTAGACACATTACAATTACATGCTCTATATGACGATAAAGCCTGTTGAGTAGACAAATTAAAATGAAGGAACTGACACAGCTACAGGACATTTCTTAAATTTCAATAATGTTTTCAGCTCTACAACGCAATTATTACATTAGTGGTTTACATTTAATAAACTAAAACACTGACATCTTGAAAAAAAATAAAATTACAGAAACAGTTCTTTATAGTTCATTGCCCCACTTGAAAAATATCCATGTCGCAGATCTCAAAGTCAGAGTCACATCTACACACTTTTCAGTTCTTTGTTCCCACCACTCTCCTCTTCTTTGACCACCAAGCCAGCCATACTCAACACCACTATACTGACAACACCAAGATGCCACTTCCAATTCCCAGTCCTCTGGATTTCAGTCTTCACAACTAACAAAAAGAAACAGGCTCTGAACAAGGATGCAGAAAGGCTGCCTGGATGCCTTCCCTTCTCCACAGCACCTAGGAAAGTGCACCCAAATCCACACAACCAAAGCAGAAATTGAGACCCACGTGAGGGCAAAACAGGAACACGCTTCTGCCACATATTCCCTGCTGCTGACCATCTCTATTTCAAGTTTGAAAGACAAATTGCTAGTTCTTTTAAAATTCAGAGGCTGCCTTGATATTCAGCAGAGACACCATGGAACTTCACATCACCAGTACTACTGATCGTTCATATCTGCATGTTCCATTGGGCTGAACTTTTCTATGCTAGTTTTTTCCCAAAATCTGATTTTAAAAAAATACTATTTAGCCTTATAATAAAATAATGAAAAAGGCTTGAGAAAAGCTTATTTGTTGTTTTTTAAATATGTTTTATTACTTCTGTACAAACCTAACAGGGCTATCTGTTTGGTGCAAATATTTGAAGTACATAGAGTAAGCAACAGGTTAAAAGATGCACCATTCCACGTATTTGTGATAACAGACACAAATCCATCCAYGTTCTGGTCCACACAGAGAAAAAACAATTGGAAGCCTACTTATTATCTTTCAAATGTTCAAATGCATTTCTASCTGTCCCACTGGGACCATCACATCAATTTAAAACAGCAAAGTAGTAGGTTTGGAGGGATGGATGGGAAGAATCTATCCTACCTACATGGTCCCACTCCTTTGAGAAATGTTCCCCTTAACTCCTTTTTTACAGCTTTTCTACCTAATCTGCCTATACCCTGCAATATTTTTAACAGTGCTTAAAAAAAAAAAAAAAAAAAAGAAAGCCCAAACCAAAAGTATTATGGAATTTTATTTACAAGACTCATTTTGCTTACAGGTTAAATATTGACCTCAGCATAAACGGTAAATAAACCCATGCATAACTTCTCACCTATCAGAAAACAAGCTCTTAGTGATACAGTAAGAAAAAAASTTTAAAAAGTTACACAAGCTATTCCTGGAAGAGCTGAAAATAAAGTCCCTCAGCTATATTTTCCCCATAGCCTGTCAAATGGGCACTCATAAGCAAACCATCTGTGTAAAACACTTTCCATTCACAACTTTTTTCTTTCCTAAGATTACTTCTCACTAGGCAGTGAGCAGGCAGAAGCTGGTTACACCACCCAGACAGAACAAAGAAGCCCATATTAAGTATCTCAGTTTCAAGACTCACCAACATCACTATGCTGTTACCACCACGTCAACTGAAGACACATTACACATTAATGAAACCAAACATACATGCAAAAAGCCAGGTKGTCCTAAAATTAAAAGCTCTCTTCAGGAAAGAACTCTTCAAAGTAATGGCAACTAAAAGGAAGAGGATTAAAAAAGCACATTAAATTTCCGTGTCATTAAAGATTAGAGGATTCCTTAAGGCTTGCAGGAAGGATTCATATTATTGACTAAGGCAGCGATGAACAGCCTTGCTGTGAAGGAACATGAAGGGAATGGTAAGCAGAGAGCTTTACTAGGAGCCAAGCTGACTGTGTGCAAAAAACACACACTGTTGACACAGCACTCTTTAGCAGTAGTTCTGCTACTGTGAACAAAAGCTGATATTCTGACATTTAAGAGAAGCACACTCATTAAATAATTAACTTCTTTAATACTTTTTCTACCACATTAATATAAGGTGATAGCTTGAAATCACATTAGTGCCTACCAAACGTGATTATTTTTGTCTTAGTTGATAGTATCCAATTAGGATCACATAAAAAATGTCAAGTACTGTAATAAATCAGGATGAAACAACAAAATAAATTAATTTCCATATGCTTAAATGTGTAAATAATACAAATTTGGTGGGGGCTGACAAAATGTGCTTTTTATTACTCCGCTGTCACATTGCATTGCTGACTAACCACAACTTCATGAGGAAATTCTCAAATCTGTTATTTTCTCTAATAGTAAGCTAAAACATACTATAAAGAAATCCTTTTAACAAGGGTAGGCTTCTTGAAGAAATCAAGAACCACAATTATTTTCAACAACAGTCAAATCAAAATGCTTAATCTAATTTTTCTGTTATAACTCTAAGAGGGGTTTAACTACCTGTCTGAATCAAAGCACTCAATAAGTAAATACTTAAAAGCTCCCTAAAATGATGTAATTTATTGTAGTTTGTTTCCTTTTAAAAAATAAAAAAAAAAGGTTAAAAACAACCTACTACAAACTCTGGAGTTTGTCTTTCATGGATTGTTCAGATTTGGTATCTTCAAAGTGTCTGGTATTCAAAAGCAATCTCCTAACTACTATAATCCATTTAAAAGCAACACCAAACATTTCACATATCACTGATCTCATTTTTAGATTTAATAGTAAAGAGCATCACAACAGCATAGCTACCTGCTCTAGTAGAAAGGAAAAAAATCCCCTAAGGAAGAAAGTTAACACCTCTAARCATTTTCACCAAGAGCAAATTCTAAAGCAACGTGCCTATTAGCCACTGTTGTTTAACCTCCATGAAGCAAGCCTTTTAGTATGGAATTGAATCTCMAAGTGTTCATTTACCAGACTCCAACATCCGCTTCAGTTGATTTGCGAGGGGTCCAGAGAGTTGATATTTTGTAGCAGTTCTTCAAAACAACTTGCATTGCCCACCACTGGGCCTGCATTTTTCTCAGTCAGTTTAGGGGAAAAAAAATTGAAATATTTTGCATGGAATGTAATATGTCTTAAACTAAAGAACTCAGTAGGGAATTGGAATCGTAGACTAATGAATACCTCTTAAAGAAGTAGTTCAATTAATGCTACTTCATATCTACCAGATGCAAATAAACAGTTCAAAATTTAAATTGCTGTAAGGCATATATGGGTACTAATTTCAAGTTCAAAACTAATTCAATTATATCTACCCAGTATAAGATATTCATGAGATGTAGGTACAGGACAAAGTTTGGTAGATTTTTTTTCTAAACTGTTTTATATTTGAGCTTAATCAGAGGTTTCAAGCAAGTTTAAACACCATTATCGATGCCAGTTGATTGTATGAACACAATTCAAGATTTGCCATAGGAATTCCTTTAAGGTTTGCCAAAATTAATCCTACTCTTAAAATTTTGATAGATATTTCTATCAAATTGTGATAGATATTTCTACTTCAGGAGCCCAAAMCAAAACTTTTTTTTTAACCTAGTAAGGTATGAGAGAAAAGAAAGCAATCACTGGACTACTCCAGCCTTTACATATTGTACTTTTATTTATGAATGTCGTCACACCATGTGTTTACTAAGAGATGATAAATTAGGCAAGATGGTAAACAGAAGGCAAATTGTAAGGCAAGTCTAGAGAATGTAACAGTTAGCAGAAACACAATTGGTATAATATAGAATATTTTTCTACTGCATTCCCTCTCGTGTTGTCACAAAAATCTACAATGTGGGTCTTCTATTTTTACTCTCATTTTAGGCATTGAAAGCACTATTTTGCACTATGTTAAAAGAAACACTCTACTTGATAGCAGGATTTTATATGAAAATTGATTTTTGTTTTGATGAACTGATAAAAAAACCTCTATTCAAAAACTTTATTATAGATGTATCTTCAACTAAAAAATATAGATACAGACAGCAAGTGTCTCTCTTACAAAAACAGCACATGAGATTCAATGGCCTATATTTATGAAGTGCTCGTGAAACTTATAAATAAACACGGTTTAGAGTCCGGTAGATAGTRCACCTCTTACTAGAGAGAGAAGTCAGTGCTCAGCAAATGCACAAAGAATATCACAAACTTTCATTGTAAACAAACATTCAAAGAAAGCTGTTCTGTTCACAAGACTCTCAAACTATTTAACTGAAAATGTGATTCTCTTTGCAGACACTACTCATTTTAAAGCAGAGCATTGTTCTGCCTTATCTTGGAAACAATTTCACAAGCCCTTCTCAGGTTTAAACCTGATCACAGTTACTGGAGTGTCATTCTTGCCAAGACTTGGACCTAAAGACCCTCTCATTTTTAGTGAACACTGAAAACATTCAGCAACTTCTGAATTTCAGCAAAATTACCATGAATTTCCTGACACTGTATCTGCAAATGCATTTAAAGAAATACTTCCCTAATTTATTAAAAAGTGGTTAGCATATTAGTAAGTGCCAATAAAGTCTCAAATACAAGTCTTGATAGCCAGGTTACAGTAAGACAATATTTTACATGCCATATTAAAAGGATCTTAAAAATAAAAATCCAAAGTACACATTTCTTTTCTGAGAAAATCCATAAACCTAAGTAGAACAGTGAATGACCAGCTCATTTGTTATTTTACATGAATTTTTAAATCAAGTCAATAAAAGCTCTGAAGATAGCTGCAGTCTATAATCAAAATGCTTCTTGTGACTGTTCTGTTCTCCTACAGAAAAAAAAAATCCCCTTTTAAAAATAGCATAACAAGATGGATATTCCAGTCGCARCTATGAGGTGCACTTCCATTTGTTATTTATTAAAAGAATAATGAGAAGAGTAAATTATTTATCCTCTGCTCACTAGGTAACATTAACCAAGCACAACAGATGAATGACTGCCAAGACACAAATACAGAAGCCCAAACTTTAACCCTTCCAAAAGCTCATTGAACAGATCTATAACAGAAACAATAAAAAAATTAAAAGTAACAAGATTTAAGGTTTTGCCCTTTAGTGAGGAATACAAATATTTGAACAGATGGTAGCTGCCAATACATATTTCTAGTCTGAATAACTTTACATCGGCTTCAAAAGAGAAGCTGATAATTTCACAATTACAGCAACKCTACAGAATTAATTCTTTYATCTAGTTAACTGTTTTTGATATTTCCTAAGAACACGTTTAAAAATGAAAACAGCAAACAAACCAAGCAACATAAAACTTAGTACATTATCTGCAAACAAAACAGACAACAGTTTCAAACTGGTGAAAACACTGTAACTTTTTGTCAGCAAGACAAACTATAAGGGTATCGTAAGGGTTTTGGTCCCTGTTCTACTTCCAGAGCCCTACGACTCTTGGGGAATTAGTGGAGCATCAGCAGTACAAATTTCTGTAAAGCTCATCACTTGAAATCAACTTGTAACCAGAATTTACTTTCTGAGTCTTACTCTCCAAYATAACTACATTACAAATCAAGGCTAACTGCAATCTGCTACCTAATTACTACCACTTACAAGACCACTTATCGGCTAGGCATGACCCTCAGTATTGCTCGACAAACCATAAAGCAACCAGAAACTCAACAGCCGAGCGCAGCCCCACGGTCCCACAGCGCAGAACGYCCCTCCGGTCCCTGCCCACGCCGTTCTAGGACTCCTCCATGGGGGTCCGAGAACACCACGAGGGGCCGTGCCCGGCCCGACCTCCCCCCGCTTCTCTTTGCCCCTATCGGCGCTTTCCCCTGAGCCGCACCTGCCGCCCCGCCGGCCGAGAGGTCTGTGAGCAGAGGCGAAACGTTCAGCACTAGCTCAGCTTCTTCTCGCACCCCCCCTCTCCTCGTCCCGGGTCACCGCCGCCCGTCCGCCCTTCCCCTCGGGCCCCGGACAGGCACTACGTGGGGAGCACGGCAGCCGCTCCGACCCGCCGGCCCGGGACTGCGATGGCTTTGTCCGCTGCCGCTGCCTCCCCCGGGCAGGTGCGCCCGGCACTTCCTCGGGTAATCCCTGAGAACTACTTTTGCCCAGTTTTGCCCTCGACCACGGCTGGACTCGGGTACAAGCACATCCCTGCCACCGACTGTCCCTTCCGTGYCCACGCAAGCCCCGACGGATCCAGGAAAGCATTCCCGCCGCGGACGGGCACACAGACACGGCCCGGGCTATCACCTGTCCCCAGACAGGGACCCACAGCCGCCACAGCCCGCCCGCGCCCGGTCACGGCGCCCYGGCAAGGAGCAGCACTCCCCGGCGGCGCCGGCTCCGCCCGCCTGGGCACAGGCTCCCGGAGGCGCGTCGGCGGGCAGGTGCAGCAGCACTAGCGGGGAGCTAGGGCCCGACAGCCACCCCACATTCCCGCCGGCGGAGCCCAAGCCGGGCAGCCCCCGCCGCACGTACCTGCCGGGCCTCGAGAGAGGAGCGGCCGCCGCCGTCGCCGCGTCCCCTCAGCCGACCGGCGGGGCCGGGCCGCGCATGCGCAGCGCAGCGCCCGCAGCGGGGCGGGGGGGCAGGTGTGCGCGGCCCCGCTGCCGCCCCCTAGCGGCGGGGCGGGGGTGCCCTCCGTGAGGGGAGCGGCGGGAGCGAGAGCGCCCCGGGCCCGCGGCGGCCTYCACTCGCACCTGGGCGAGAAAGGTAAAAACATTAAAGCACTACTTCTGCTCAGGGGCAGGCGAGGACACAGCTGTTAAACTCCGAGTGTTTTGATGCCGTGAAAAACACAAGGAAGTTAATAATTCTGTGTTTAATACTATGCAGTGACAAAGGCATGGGATTGCACAATCAAAAATGAGAAAATTAAAGATATGCTGGAGCARTTTTCATTCATGGGTCACACACTGCTCCAAATCAGGTTCTTAGCCTCCCTAATGTATATCATAATTACAGACTGAACTGTACGCAAAAAAATTATGAAATGAGGCCACGTACAGAGTTATAAAAGGACTAATTTACTAAGAAGAGGTGTTTTCCCAGTCCAGTAGTCTGATAAAGAGCAAGTACTACTACATCTCATCTGGGCTTGCCTTAAGCCATCCCCACTGCCACCCTGACACAAGCACGATACTTAATGCACTTGAAATTCTGCTCTATACTCTTCGGGTGCCCTATGTCTTTAAAGGCAATAGGCAAAATGTTATAAAGCTGATATAAATGAGACTCYACTTCACCTCTGGTCTGATCACTGGGCCAAAAAATGTGCTTCAAATGAAAGCAGTACTGGCTGGACCATGTATTTTCCTTGCTGTYAGTGCAGCTGAACTGAGCGGTGTGCTGCTTGGTAAGGAGCTTGAGCAAAAAACTAAGGTAAACAAGATCTTGTCCCATTCATCAGTTAAGGAATCTAGGCCACATTCCAGTCAATAATTGAAACTTTAATTATCTTGACAGCTTTCCACTGAACATGAAAGAATCCTGTTTGGCCAGTCCTGCAGGACATAGCCCCAGACAAATAGTGCTCCTTGTGGCACACTCCCCATGGCATCCACCAAGCAAGACATTCATTGAAAGCAAAATAAAGATGATGTCAAAAGGCAAATGTATCAATGCCATTCCTCATAAARCAAATACAGTACAAATAAATAGTAATATCTTCTAAATTACTTTTTAGTATGCAAATCTACACTGACCACAATGGGGCTCAGGCAGAAAAAATGGCTATAGAAAGTCACTATAAAGTGACTTCCAGAAAGTCTTTAGCTTTTCTGGAAGCAATCTGAAAACGAAGAAACCGAAATGCAAAAAGTGGGATATTCAGATATTCAAAGCAGTATAATTTGAAGTCTGTTGTTAAAAAAAAAAAAAAAAACCAAACAAACAAATATTTTATCAGCTACAGCGAGGATAAAGTGGAATAGAGATGGAGAGCCAGACAGGGAGATGCAGGGCCTTGGCACATCTAAGAAAAAAAAAAAAAAAAACCAAAACAAAACAAAAAAAAAAAGCAACAGATGTTCAGTTTAAGGAGCTCAAACTTTTAATTATTTAATTGTCTAATATTGACATGAAATAGAACACAGGCAATGCTATCAGAATACAGGTTTGACAAATTAGCAGATGCATCAGAAATACATGATTGCAAAAGAGACATGACAAGTGGAATCAGAAGTTGAAAACAACCTATTAAGACATAGTAAAGCAACAAGAGTCTATAATTAGGACCTGTAATCCTATAGTTCTTAATCCTGTACAATCACTATGCTTGGCATGACAATCTGCTGTCTTAACCATGTTAGATATCTTGCATTTCAAGAAATAAAAGCAATGCAGTTCCAAAGACATTTGACTGTGCTAAAATTAATCATCAACAGATTTATTTTGTCAAAGTGCTCCTGTATGTTGCTGTGTGTAACACTTTAAAGAGTCGGGCAGCAGCAAACCACAGAAAGCATAATTTACATGATTGAAATTAAAAACTAAAATAAATTGAGTAAATAAATTTAATTAAATTCAGAGTCATAAAAAACAGAGGGAGCAATTTGAAGGGGGGAAGAAAAGTATTTTTTAAAAGAGTGTTTTTATTCAGTCCTGTGCTCCTTCCTGAGCTGCACATCAGTGTCAGGGCAGAGCTACTCCTCCAGGCATCTTGAACTGAGAGCCAAGGTCACCCACGAGGGCACAGGCAAGAGCAGGACCAGGTGGCAATAGCAACAAGCTTTGTCATATACAGTGACCATCGCCCAAGGTGAGATGCCAAGTCCAGGATTCATTCTGGAAGTCTTGTCAGGAAGAGCAAGAGGCAGTACTAGAGATGGATATGACCTGTGTGCAGACCTACACCTGTAATGTAGGTCTGAGACTCATCCAAGGCAGGATCATCCAAGACAAACTCACAAGRCAAAGTGCAGGCAAACCGTGGTGGCCTTGGTCTGAGGTTAAATGGAACCCTGGAGTCCCTGCCCACTGTGGAAGGAAGGTGGCTGAGTAGGGGCTCCAAATGAGGCTGATCCAGGCAGTTTAGGGCTTTTAGTGCCTTTAGATTCCTGGCAACCARGAAAACTGGAAGTTCTTCACAGAGACAAAGTCATGCATTGCTATTTTTCTAAATGAGCCATCACTGGTGTCAGTGGAAAGTGATATACAGTTTGCAGCTTTGGTGGTTGCCACGGATGCCAACTCTGATTGAATACATGTAATGCAACACTACTATTCAACAAAACTGCACAATGTGTAAAATCTGGAGGACAGACATTGGTGAAACTGTGTTGTTTCAAATGAACACTAATATTTCCTGGTCCTGTCAAACACATTCACTCAGCTTGTTAAATCAGTTTATCTGTTCATTTTTTGCTCCATAGTGTGGCCAGATGCCCCAGATCAGAAATTCCCATTCTCCAGCTAGATAGAACACTGAATAGGTATTTTGGCACAGACTTGGCTGGAACAATCTATATACTAAAAACGGAGTCTCACTTGCATAGCTTCTCTTCAGCCATACTGATGCAAGGCATATAAAAATCATTGCAAACAGTTCCTGCAATGCACAGGGCCCCTCTGAACTTCAGCTCTGTCTGTCCAGGTCTTCTGGACAGAARAATCATCTGTCTGAGAGACTGTATCTTCAAATATTGTTGTTTCCTTTCCCAGTAGTTACAGGCCACTCAACCTAAGAAACCTGATTCAGGGAGGAGAAAACAGAGGAGACAAAGCTGTTTCACAGAAGGTTGTCCCAGACCATGGCAGGTCTTTCTCTTGAAGGCAAGGAGGGATGCAGGACTTTAGAAAAACCAAGTGCATAATTTTTCTTTGATCTGAATTTAATTAGTTTCTCTTCTCTACCCAGAAGCACAAACRCCTGTTAGTGTAATTTTTCCCCCTACAGGCTGAGAGAAATAGAAGGTTGTTCTCTTTGTAGAAGATGTTCAACTGTTTTGGAGGATTTCAAGTGTTTTGAACACTTTCATGGAAAAACAAACAAAATAAACATTCAAATCTAATTTTCTGCTTGCTTATAGTATTTCTTATTTGCATATTTTATTATTTTTTAAATATTGAACAAACTGTAATTATTACCTCCTTTTTGTGAAGATGTTGTAAAACAATAAACTTACAGGATGAATCAATTATTAGTAGTCACACATGCATTGAAACCCCATGGTACAGTGAAAAAAAACCCCAAAGAATTATMCACTACATAAAAAAAAGTACAGAGACTGTAAGTCATATCTATTTTAGAAATTTTCCCGCCTTCTACTAGCTCAGTTGAGCCAGTGCTAGCAGTATTGGGAACTACAGTTTCCCACCCAAGCATATTTCTTCAATGTTTGTCTAAGCATTTTGAAAGCAAATCCAATCAGTACATTGGCATAAACAAGCCTGCAGTTTATTGGAGTCCTGAAATTTATTTTTGTGCTGCCCTCCCTGTTCAACTGGCAGAATGCTAAAACCTGTGAGGTTTTTCTTCAAATCTACCCACTAACAAAAGGCCCAGAATAACAGAAAACAGGTAGGATTGATATTAACTGCTCCTGAGCTCTTTTTCCTAATTTCCAATAGTGAAAGACAGAACAGTCCCACAAAGCAGTACATTCCAGTGCTGAACTGGAATATAGTTACAAATATCTTCCAAAGTCTAACTTCATCTCCTTTGCTGCAGTGTAGAAGAGGTAATGAGTTTATCTCAGTGGGTACAGAAAACAACAACCTTCAGGACATTTGATAGCATCATCTATAACCTCCATTTTCTCAAAGAATAAAAAATTATTTTAATTTTTCCTCATAGGTGATGTTTTTTAGACCTCCATTTGTTTTTATTATTCTGCCTGGATTTCTTCCTGTCGGTCTTTATCAGAACAGTGCTCAKTTCTGGGGACAGTAGTCCTGCTGTAGTCGGACCAGTACTGGCTTTAATACATTATACATCTGCTTATACAGTCCACCAAAAATCCTTTGCTTTTTCTCTTATGGCAGCAGAATGCTACTTAACCTGTCCTTCTCCAGCTTGTGTATGACCTCACTTGAGAATTTTCTTCTATGTCCATTGATTCTTACTGATTTCTAATTTTGTTCTGGACAAAAAAAGTTTAAAGCCCTTCATATCTTGCCAATTTGATAAGTGCACTCTCTATTCYATCAGCCGAGTCATGAATTAAAATACTGCATGTTATCAGATCCAGAATAATCTCCTGAGCTGAGATGCTTTTCTTGGAAAATTGACCATCTAAAACCAAGGTCTGATCAGGGTTTTCATAACCAGCTTGTATTGGTTTTGCAGTAGCTTTTGCTGGRCAGTGTGCCACTCCCTTTCTTAAGAGATGTCACAGGAAGGAATTTCAAAAGCCTTACCAAACTCTGTCTGTATCGTATATATTGATTCTTTCCTATTTGTCTTCAAATGAGGTGCTCAAATTGTGCAACAAATTTGTTGCAACRTTAGCATCTCAAACTGCTTCATAGTCTTCACCTCTGTTAACAATTTTGTCACCTCTGTTGTCCATGCACAAAGTCAATGTCAGAAAAAAGAGTTCAATATTATA